ACAATATAAGAATAACATAATATATAAAAGAAATCCAGCACTGTTTGTAAAATGGCATTACGTTATGCAGATCCATAATAGTGAGAAGCAACAATGAAATTCATAATATGTTTAAATCACAATTGATCACTGGCATCATAAGAGCTAATAGACTGAAATGGCTGAGAGAATGTCCAATGACAGAGAAGTAAAAACTGTATACACAAGAGAGATGAATGGTTGCAGACCACGAAGACGATGGAGAGATAATGTCCAGAGAGACCTGCAAACACTTAGTGTCACCAACTGGAAAGAGAGGGCCAACCAGAGAGATGAATGGAGGCGGGTGATATCTGCAGCAATGAACCTCATGGGCTCGGAATGCTGAAGAAGAAGAAAATCCATTACAAATTATTCTTCAGTACTGATAAACAAAAGACTTCTTCATACTAACGCTTAATATTTCATAAGAAAGCAGCAGTTGACTTATAAGGTGGCAAAACAGCCACATGCAACAATGGGTGTGGCATAACAGTGACCTGTGTGAGCATAACAGCCACATGTGGCCAAGAAGGTAGCATAACACAGCCACTTGTAGCCAGGAGGGTGGCATAACAGTGGATATGAAGGCAGCATAATATAAGTTACGTATGTATGTCAGCCAAGACAGGACATAACAGTGGATATGAAGGCAGCATAATATAAGTTACGTATGTATGTCAGCCAAGACAGGACATAACAGTGGATATGAAGGCAGCATAATATAAGTTATGTATGTATGTCAGCCAAGACAGGACATAACAGTGGATATGAAGGCAGCATAATATAAGTTACGTATGTATGTCAGCCAAGACAGGCAGAATAACACACCCATGCATGCTGCAATAAAGGCACTTAATCCAACACCACTTTTCCGCCATGCGTCGGTGGATACAACATACAAAAGGTGACTTCAATCCACTGCTACGTCAAGAAGCCATGACAGTGTAGTGGCTAGATGCTTGCCTAGAAGTCTTGGGTTCAAACATGCATCAAGTCAGAAAAGTTTCACTGGGTTTTAGGCTGACATAACTAACCTACCAGAGGACTCTGCCTCGAATCTAGTATTTCAAAAATAAGAAGCAAGATATACTTTTGTCTATAAGCCATGTTCTTCTTCTTCTTTCTCGATCCTACTGTTAAAAAACGTATATCAGGAGGCCGGTAGCCTTTATGAAAGCTATCGTGCAATCCATATCCTCTCGTGTACCATACAGTTTTGTCTTCATTGTGGTTGGAACAGGCATAACCCTTGTGATTCCATGGTAGCACAGTTTTAACAAAACCAGACCAAGAATAAACTATCATTGGTACTGAACATTGAAGAGATAAGTCACATTGACAGCGAAAAATCATAGCTCAGCCGCATTGTCAAAAAAATTCATATTTCCATGCCAAATCATCAAAATAGGCAAATTTCCACAACAAAATGTGCGAAATGGGAAATTTCCACACCAATTAAACAAGCAGCATGGGAGAATCCTCTCCCATATGGAAATTCTCCATGCCAAAATGAATGAATGAAGAATCAACATCACTGCACTCGGGACACTCCCATAACGTGCTCCATCCCTTTCACGCCACAAAAAAAAAACACATCATAGGGAAGACTTCCACATCAGCTTCTTCTTCTCTTCCACCTTGTACCTCATCGAAGTGTCTGGGGGAGATGTAATGTTCGTTTATGAGCACTATTAAGACTGATGTTCATTTCTGTAAGGCTGTTCTTAATGCCATCACTCCATATTTTGCAAGATCTTCCACTTGCTCTATACACGTAACGTTTTAGTATGGCTCGCTGTGGCAGATAGTACCAGGGCATTCTCGTTAGGTGTCCAAACCACTTCATGTGTTGTTCTTTGATGACCTGTAAGACTGGCTTTATTCCTAGCATCCGTCTGATTTCGTATTCTGTCTTCCCTTGAATCCACATCAACTAAACTAGTAAAATAGGAGATACCCACACCAAATGGTAATTTTTCCATAAAAAATAATAGACACACCAAATGATAAAACTTCCGCACCAAATGGTAATTTTTCCATAACAAAAATAGACACACCAAATGATAAAACTTCCGCACCAAATGGTAATTTTTCCATAACAAAAATAGACACACCAAATGATAAAACTTCCGCACCAAATGAGAAATTTTCACACCTACTAAATAATGGAATTATCACTAGGCTGGTGCACCTTAAAACATTACTGAAATATGCATTTACTGCACGCACATATTTCTAAATTGTTCTTGGACTACTTGTTTGTGTACCAGTTTTTTTTCTCTTCAAATGAGACAGTAAGGTACATTTCATCTGATTTGCACCGGCACAGGAACGGAGCAAGTATGGGGAAACCTGACTGCAGTGAAGTTGAAACCCCGACTAAGACTAAAACCTTTATACATCACACTGAGCTCATATTTTATTCTTCCATTCCGTTTGTTCCTGTGCAACTGTATCAATATTATGGATGGAACTTATTGGCCAAAATTTTAAAATTGGGGATAGTCACAGGCCAGTAGCCCAAACCTGAGAATAGAAAGATCATTAATATTTTACAACTGGCAATAATTTGAGTGCCCACTTGCTAGGTTTTCGCGGGCCGCCAGTTGAACAGCCATGCTCTAAAAAAAAAAAGATACTATTTGCAAGAGCAGAACTTAACCAAAAACACAATGGATAAATAGCTCTCATTTAACAGACAGACAAACTTATGACAACATTAATCGCTGGTAAATATAGTGCCCTTATTCTATAGTAAAATGAAAAAGCCTCCCCTTATTTTCTGGTTGACAGTTCAGAGATCAACTCTTTTTGTTCCTGTAGGGGTTTCTGGGCCCCATTTGGAGGGGGCAAAAGAAGCACCCTGCCCCCTCCTCCCCCAACCTTTTGTTTTCTTCAGTATGTCCTGAAGTGAACAATCAACTACAACTTTCTGCCAGAGTTGACAGCCGGTGAATGCTGAGAGAAAGAGCAAGAAGAGTTCACTGCACCAGGCTATTATCCTGTATGCATCTGTCTCTCTCTAGAGAACAGCTAACCCACCAGCAGGAAGTGTCACACAAACCGCAAACTTCAAAGCAGCTGTGTCCACCGCACACAAATTATGTTCATGCGCCGAACTGAACCATTCCCTTCAGACCCACAGGCAAGCGTCTAGCTGCTATCCCACTGTAGTTAGTTAACTTGCGGCATTTTCCAATAAATTAAAGGTCAACCCCATTGCTTTCTACTACAACAAAGTCCAGCTTCCATTCTGTTTTATGGTAAAGTAAACATTCTTCTTTAACATTCACCTGCAGCAGTGGTGTAGCGTCTAGATGCCCGCCTGTGGATCCCAGGTTTGAATCCAAATGAAGCTGGACTTTTTTACCTCTCTCTAAAAAATTACTCTGGCTCCCAGGTCAACTCAGCCTTAAACAGGCACCCGGTAAAGTCATGGGAAGTAAAGGCAGCCGCCGTGATATTAGCCGTTGAGTGCCTACTGGTCTATAAAACACAGGGCTAGCACCATATGCCGAAAGACATGGGAAAAGGGCCCTTTTATCTTTAGGCACATTACCTAGTGAACCTTTGGGAGCGAGTGAACAGTGTGGTGTTGCAGACAGATCATTACGGTCTAAGGAGAAAGACGCTGCGAGGAGTTACAAGGGAATATGGCCGACACTCAACACTCAGGGGGAAGGATGAGACTGATATACAATCAGACAGTTACTGGTACAATCGGAATCGGAACTCTTTGCTTGGGGACTGAGCACTTATGGGAGTGTCCCGAGTGAAGCCCCAATCTTGTTCAAGCTGTGACTCACTTCTGACTAAGGTCTAATCTAAGGCAAAGAACATTTTGTTTTCTTATAAATAGCTCACCCCAAAAATCACCCATGGTACATTGAGGACTGTGAGCGCTGTCACTAACCTCCCAGCCACCAGGACAAATGAACAGAACAGTTGCCAGCAAAATATTTATCTAGTTAACCGTCAAACTTCTACTTCCGCTGTAAACTTCAGCAGAAAGTTCTGGTTGTCTGTCCAAATCTGGACTTCAGTCTTGTTCCAGAACCTAAGTTTTGTGCGCACATCCATTTTACAGATCTGACTTATTTGTATGCAGACTGTTGGTTCCTCACCCCTCAGGCAGATGCACTTCGAAGAAAACCCTTTATTAGTCGCCTAGGATGACATGCTTGTAAAGGGGCAGCTGCTCTGTTCCAACCCCCTAAAATGGGACCTCGGAACCCAGACTCACGGAAAAGGTCAAACAAACATCAGAATCAGTCAACAGCAGCAGAAGTCCAGTTTCAGACAGTGCTGTTCTCATACGGATTCTGCAGGTCATATTTGTGGGTGCAGGCAGCACGATCGCACTGCCTTCTAACAAGCATGCTGTATAAGGCAACCAATCGAGGGTTTGCTGAAATCAGATATGTTGGGCTAAAAAGTGCAGATATCACAGCCTGGCTGTAAACCACAACATAACATGCCAATCATCATGTTAAGGGACGAATTCAGGAAAAGAAGAACAGTTTTAACAAAAACCAAAATCATTCAGCAGAAGTCAAATTTAAGAAGACACTGTCAGGAGTTGGACAGCAGCTTTAGCAGTTAAAAAAACACAACAACAATCCAACATTATTTGATTCAGACATCATTAAAATTACTACGGTGTCAGAAATTACCCACGAGGGCCAACACCTCTCACAAAAAATATTTACAGATAGTGACAGCAGCTATGTAGAAGTGAACGCTGAATGTTTATGAGCCACTTTCCCTCAATGTAACATTCAACATCAAGGAAAACTGGCACATAAATAGCATCCTGCCAGGAAAGCTGATGTATTTTAGTCATGTTAAACATCAGTATGGCCTGGGGAGAAGTATACATATATATATATATATATATATATATATATATATATATATATATATATATTTTTAAATCCAGTATTATTTGATTCAAATATCGTTCCAATTACCCCATGGTCTCACAAAAAATATTTGTAGATAATGACGGCTGCGGCTCCGATGACGACCGCCAGACCTATGTACATGGAATTATGGGTGTGCGACTTTGCTGCTCGCAAGCGCTCACTCTTCTGCTGCCTCTCCTTCATCTTCAGAATCTGCTCGGCCGTTTGTTTCTTCCTCTCTTGTCGAATCTGATGCAGCGTGTTTGTGATTCTGAGTGCGAAACAACAACAAAGGCTGTAGTTACACAAAACAAAAAAGTGAGTGTAATGTTACAAAGCAAAACAAAAAACCCTATTACTTCCTGTAGTTACCAATCTACAATTTAGAAATTAAATTTTAAAAAATTAAACAACACCTTAAGGCAAACAGACGAATTCAAGTATTTAGGAGCAATTTTCACAACCGAAGGAAAACTGGACAAAGAAATTTAGCTCCAGATGTGCCAAAGCTAATCAAGTAATGGGTCAAATATCTCCCCTGTTGACACACAAGCAGATACCTCGGGGTACTAAAGTTATTCTTATCAGAACTATTTTTTTCCCAACACTATGCTATCAGTGCTAAATGTGGACACTTACATCCTCCATTGAACGTAAAATTGTGACAACAGAGATGAAATGCCTTAGAAGAGCTGCAGTTTCAAGGAAAGACAGAATACCAAATCAGACCAATGCTAAGAATAAAGCCAGTCTTACAGGTCACCAAAGAACAACCAATGGAACAAGGTGGAGGAGAAGAATAACTTACCAATCTCTGCGATGTAGGCAAGAATGTCTTGAAGCCCGAGGAATTTGGGACCGCACGGCTAGTGCAGCCACATGGACTATCCAGGTAAGGATTTTATTTTTGCCCTCTGCAGGCAACTTTAACCTTACTGAGGATTCAAACCAGCCATTCATGAATTCTTCTTCTTCTTTTTAGGGTTCAACAGATGTAAACTGTGGCGGAAAGTTCTGGTTGTTCATCCACTCCTGGATTTTGGTCCTGATCCAGAACTTGAGTTTTTCATGACCATATGTTTTTAAGATCTTATTTATAAGCAGACTGTTTCTTGCGTCTCTGGTAGATGTAGTCTGATTTCAAAGGAAACACATCTAATTACTCGCCCACATGACAAGCTTGTTCGGGAGAGTGGAGGCAAATTTTTTGCTCTCCAAAATGGAGCCACAGGAACCCATGCAGGGAGCTGTTGAAATAAGAAATGTGACATAGTAAAATTTGTTTTTTTTTTAAAGTAAAAAAAAAAAAAAAAAACTTTGCAATGGCCCCATAGGGTCAAAGGAACGGAGGCAAACAAAAAACACAAGCAGAAAGAAATTGGAGAAGGATGGGGTGAGAATATGGTGAGTTGAAGAGGACTGCGTGCTGGTTGACAGCCTATGCTCCACTGGCTGATAAAAGGCAGAAGAAGAAGAGGGGGGAAAATGGATACCTAGCACACAAACTACTAAATTGTCCAAATGGTTATCAAGATTGCATGCAGTTTCAGTCCACAAGTGGGTGATCATGCTTCTCCACAATCTGCGATCTGCGTGTTTCAGTGCGTGTGCTGACACCCCTCCCTGCCATGACAAAAGACTGTCAAGAATCTTTTCACACCGTCTTCCTCTGTCTCTTTTTCCAGAAATCTTTCCAGTGGTCACAATATGTTCAACATTCCTTCTTCTCATAACATGACCCAAAAATGATGACTGTCTCTTTCTGATATTGTTCCCCCATTTAGTTAAGCTCTTTTTAGTCACAGTTCACTGGAATATTTTCTACAAACATCAGACAGCACAGACAAAAAACACATTGAAATGATACCTGATCTCTTTGTCCGAATCATCACTGCCGTCAAGACTATCACTTTCACTCCTATCAACCAGCTGATCAAACTCATCATCGTCATTATAACCATCGTTCTCATCATCAGTAACTCGTTCATTGATCAACATTTCCTCATCCTCGGATTCCTCATCCTCCTCTTCCCCCCAGCCATTCATGCCGGCGTGTGCCGAGACCGGACCCTTCTTTGGTGGTAGAGGTGGTGGAGGTTCTTCTAGAGTCTGCAGGAGGCTGAGCCCGTTCTGGTCGATCCTGACGGCCTTGTCCGTCGTGTGACTGGGCTGGCTGTCTGCGTGGTTCTGTCAGATAAAGGGGAGAATAATGCAAGGTAACCATCGTGTAATGGCAGTCGCCGCCGTGGCTAGACACTCCCCTGCGGATCAGAAGGTAGTGGGTTTGCTCCCTGGTGGAGCCAGGTTTTTTTCAAAAATGACCTTGGCTCCCAGGTCAACCCAGCCTTGAGTGGGCACCATGTTCTGTCCCGGGAAGTAAAGGCGGCCGGCATGATGCTGACCACATCACCCATCTTGTGCCGTTGGTCTATAAAATACAGGTCTAGCCCGATATACCCAATACGTCTGAAAGGCGTAGAAAAGGGTCCTTTACTTCTACCATCGTGTAACACAACAGGAAATATTAATTCAAAGCGAGCACCGTGTTATATAATGGGAAATATAAACTAAAAATAAGCATATTGTAACTATCTTTATCATTTCTACTTCTGCTGTTAAGCTTCATGGGAAGGAACAGTTTGTGATCCACTGCCTAATGGGCAGTAATGGCTATTGTCATTCTGTGTGGATGTGGAAGCTCTTTAGTGTCACCCATCTATATTCTATCTATGGCGACCTGTTGCTTTCCCTTTAGATCATAAATAGTGCCTGCATTGGTGGTTGCTCTAGCTGCATTCTTACTAGATGACCAAATCATCTGATCTTGTTTATCATGATCTGTGGAGATACACGAGCGCCTACGCCAGCTGGCAGGGCACATGATGATGATGCATTATGCAATGTAATGGGAGATCTTAACTCAAAGTGTGCATTACGTAATATAACTGGAAGTATTAACTCAAAGTACGCATTATGTTAATGAACAGGCCACGCGCCATTTTCTGAATCGACAGTTTATAATATCAAGTTGGTCACAGTTCCAAATGAATTCCGCAGCGCACAGTGTCACGCCATGCACACAGCTGAGTAGCTGGGAAACAAAACGATATCCTTTCAATCCAAAAATACAGGAAAATGCAACGGCCACTGTCTGTCAGAAGCAAAAAATTTGCCGCGGCTAAAAACAGTGACCGTGCCTAACTGTCGTGAGATGAGCAGCCACCATACACAGTGGACGAGTCGGGACTTGATATCCCTCGCGCTCAGCAAAATTTCAAACTTAGACCCGTCCGGAAAGGTATATAGTCCCTTATATTGATCTATACCTTTATCTGGTAAAATAGTCATTTCTAGACCTTCTAGTTGCTTTGATAAATCTTCATTTTCAAACTTGTAACAGTAGGTTGGCGAATTATGGTATTTTATTTAGAAATTGCTGTAAACCAGATAACTCCTGGTTCATGAATACAGGGAACTTCTTTCCTAGTGACGCTAAGCGTAGTTTGAAGCAGGCATTTTCTGCCTGACTGCCTAGAAGAACAGATGTTCTAAACGGGGCCTCGTACATCTATGCTTTGAGGAGGCGGCCTTTGCTGTCTAGGACATTTCCTAAGCTTGGGATGATATCTCCTTGGAGGCCAGGCAGTGAATCAGCGGTCCACAAAACCACCTACAAGGAAGTCACCTGTGTCTAAGCCAGTGGTGGGCAGCAGATGGTGAACCTCATTGTGGTCATCAACTAATGAAATCCTCCAATTGGTCTACAGACAACAGTAAGGGTGTTGTACCTTCACCATCATTTATCCGGCAGTTTGTTTGTGCCTCAAGTGTTTGACTTGGTACCTGAGATCCTCTCCAGGAGCCTAGGTGTATCTCCAGTGTTCGAGTGTCTAGTGTGGGACTGTCTTGACTGTAACAACAGAGTGACTGAACATCCAGCCAGTTCAAGAAACCAAGGATTCAGATAAGTGTGGGCAATCATGGGTTTATTGCCAGGCTTCACTATTAAATGTCCACACTCATCATAAGGATGATCTAGGCAGACTCTGGAACATTCATACACGTTCAGTCAGATCTAGATGAAGTTTTGGTCCTTCATATCACTCTGGGTTCTTGAAGTTCTTTGCTGATTCTTATATAATGTATGTGTTACACTTATTACAGTATTTCTAAAGTTTCACTATTGACTGAAGTGTCACACATTCATTGTTCTTAGATGTCTAAAATACATGTATGTTCAATTAATGATATTTATCTGTGTTAACATGGCTATGATAGTAGACTATCATAACCTGGGAGCTAGCTTTTTATAGTAGTGGGGGTGTCCAGCCAAGTGTGCCTAGGAATATTATATATTTTGTAGTGCCAAAACTTGAGTTGCCCTACTCCTGAAATAAGTTGAGCGTATATTGGCCATGGGGCATCCCTTAGACCAATACGAGCCAACGCCTCAACATTATTATTTCAGAGTGCTGTTGGTTCTTGAGGAGAATTCCTTAAATCAGGCACGCAACAGGAGCGATATGTGACACTAACGTCCATTCTGACCGGACAAAGAACCCAAGTTCTAGAACAAGATCGAAGTCCAGAAGTTGGCGAACAACCAGAACTTTCAACCAGAATTCACACTTCTCAAACACTAAAAAGAAGAAATTATATAGTTTTAACGCCAATTTTTAAGTATATTTCACTTCTAATGATGCAGACTCAAACAATACATTGCACGATATTTAAGCAAATGGATGTAGGTACGAATTCAAAACACATACCCATTTGCTTTAATATCGTGCAATGTATTGTTTGTGATCGCATTATTTAAATTCACTATGGGAAAACAGTGTTTTAAATTCGTACATACAGCCATTTGATTACATGTCATGCAATGTATTGTTTGTGTCCCATTATTTAACTTCTAATGATATTTAAATTGTGAACATATATCAGTGAAAGTTGGAGAACAATTTTCTTTGTCTTCTCCGCATTCACCGGTTGTAAACTCTAGTGGAAAGTTCTAGTTGTTCGTCCACTTTTGGACTTTGGTCTTGTATCAGAACTTGAGCTATGCGCGCACCTACATTGTGCAGACCCTGCGCTGCTAAGCGCTGCTGACAAGAAACTGACCTGGTTCCAAGAGAGAGTCGGAAGCTGGATATCCTCAAGTCCGTGCTCACTCAAGATGGCATGTGCTCCTTCTACGATTGCCTGATAGGAAAACCTCAGCTGGTCGGCTGTCTGGACCAGCCCCATTCTGTAGGTGCGCATCTTAATGAGCAACTTCCTCACGTCGATCTCCTTCAGAGTGCCGCTGTTTTCCACCTAGAAAAAAATACCATTTAAAAAAAAAAAAAGGAATTATTTAAACAATATCTTGTGATGCAGCTGTAGCTGTTAGCTATTTATTTACCTGCCGGCCCAAAGGTTTCTGGTTCGAATCTACACTGAGTCAAATTCTCTTTCAACACTGATATTGGCTTCAAGGTTGGCCAAGCCTGAACTGTCCTTGGAAGTCAAGGCAATGAGAATGATGCTAATCACATGACCCATCGAGCCCTGGTTAGTCCAAAGATATACGATTCTACCATTCCACGACCGAAGCGCCACTGGGTAAAAATTATCCTTATTTTACTTCCTCACCCTGTGATGTCGGCGGCATCTGTGGCATTTGCGTTGTGAGTCCGACTCATAATTCCAGGGTATTGCAATCCAAACCCACTGCTTGGCTGCGTGGATTTGTATCATGGTATGAACGAACAAACTTTATTTTTAAAGGGTCACCAAAATTGGCCGTTCCAGGTCGATCCAGCCTAAAATGTCCTGGGAAAGTCAAGATGGCCAGCGTAATGCTGACCACAATACCCATCTAGTGCTGTAAAACGATGGGTGCCCACCTAGTGCTGTAAAACGATGGGTGCTCTTCCCACAAGCATGATGCGCCTAAAGGCATGAAAAAGGATCTTTACTTATCCTGTGATGTCAGCAATAGTTATTTCCGTATCCTTTACAGGACCTTGCAAACTAACTCCCAACATTTATTGGATATTTTTTCCTGTGTGTTTCCCGTTAACTACGGCAATCTACAGAGCTAAGGAATGCATCCCTCCGTCAACCAGCATGCCACATAGCCACATCATTTATGACACCAACACACATGGGCCGACACAACTCTTCATTCCAGAAAATCACACTGACAACATTCAAAAGTGCAACTTATGATCCACCACATGCAACCGGACTGTTTACAATCTCCAAAAGAATGAAACATATTGACAATATATTCCTCAGAAATCCAATATGGCCACTGTTTATCTTGGTTTCCATAGCAACCACCAAGCGTGCAGTCAATCTGACAGTATTTTATTGATCAGAAGTCTTTAGTTTAAAACCATATACCATATCAGACATTTACATAAAATAGTACGCATTTTAGTTTTATGAGTTTAGGGCCACCTTAAAACTGCCACACAACAAGTCTATGATCCTTGGGACTTTAACAATTTACGCACACATCCAAACATCTAGACTGACTGGATCATCCCATGCTGTTGGCTCACATCACCTTTACTATATCCATGATGGACAGTGGTGACATGTCTGTATGCTGGTCATAAAGTTCAAGCGACACACTTCCACAACTCTGTGTGGCACATTCTCCACTCTCTTCCACTAGCCCCGAATGTTTACCTTCACAACCCATCAACACAACATGAATGCCAGTGTGCACCCACATCTCGCCAAGGCCTGGCTTTATTAACTCTTTACACACCAAAGTGACTTTCGCACACATTTCACTGCCACTTCTGGCCAGTCTGTCAGCTATTTCATTGCCTTCCAAGCCACAGTGACCTGGAATCCACTGTAGGACAAGACTGTTCTGCTGAAAAGCCTAAGTGAATCAGCTGTTGCGTCAAGTCAGCAAACTATGTGTCTTTTGGGTTAACGACTGCTTGTAGAACACTGCATATTCATGTTATGTGTTCTGATGAAAGCTTTTTAACCATAGCATTTGTGATGGTTGATTTCTTCTCTTCATTTGGTTTCATATCTGCTCATATACTCATAAAACTGCTGATATCAACAGAAAATGGTTTAAAGTCAAAACACTAGCAACCGACTTGTGCAGCATGCAAACTGACCGCCACACATACAAACTGACCGCCACACACACAAACTGACAAGGCATTAAATGAAAATGTACATCCTCTTTCAAGATCAACCAAGACAAGAAAACCCAATTCTCTGACAGAACATTATCTGCGTGACTCTGGGAACATAGCTGATAAAAACTGTGCCTTCAGAATTATTTACCACACAGTGAACAGACGTTTACTAAAACTAGCTGAACCCTTATCAATAAAACTTAACACTCCAGTTTTATGTCAGCAAAAAAGATCATGTGATAAATTTGAAGTTACCATGGTGTTCATGTGGCTATTCTTGAATTTCCGGTCTAACCTGACAATGTGATTTATGTATTTCAGTGAAAAGGATTCACTTTTGTGCTTCATGATACGTTGACATAACTCTGTAGTAATGCATCTCGCAGGATACAGGGAAATATGCCAGGCAATAAAGTGTGCAATTTATTGTGTGTCCACACTACTTATTCAAAAAAAGAAAAAAAAAAAACTGAAACAACAAACTCACCATCACCAAGCAGGAGTCCACGAGACAAAAGGTTCCAGATCGGCCGATGCCGGCGCTGCAGTGAATTACAGCTGGTGCAATGTCCGCTCCAAGAGACCCACTTCCTCGAACAGAATGCAGGAAATGAAGAAAGGCATGTGGCGATGACGGCACACCAAAATCTGGCCAAGTTGTGTAATGGAAGTGAAGAAGCTCCCGTTTTTCGCCAGACTGAAATTAAAAAAAAAAAAAATCACTGTGATTGTTTCTTCTTCTCTTCATTCTTCCTACTCTGCAGCAGTTTTCACATGAGACCATGGGATTTTTAGAAAGCTTATAGCCCCTTGCACGTCCTCCCCTAACACCTTGCATGTCCTCCCCTAACCCCTTGCATGTCCTCCCCTAACACCTTGCATGTCCTCCCCTAACCCCTTGCACGTCCTCCCCTAACACCTTGCATGTCCTCCCCTAACCCCTTGCACGCCCTCCCCTAACCCCTTGCACGTCCTCCCCTAACCCATTGCATGTCCTCCCCTAACCCCTTGCATGTCCTCCCCTAACCCCTTGCATGTCCTCCCCTAACCCCTTGCACGTCCTCCCCTAACCCCTTGCACGTCCTCCCCTAACACCTTGCATGACCTCCCCTAACCCCTTGCATGTCCTCCCCTAACCCCTTGCACGTCCTCCCCTAACACCTTGCACGTCCTCCCCTAACACCTTGCATGCCCTCCCCTAACCCCTTGCATGCCCTCCCCTAACCCCTTGCATGTCCTCCCATAAACCCTTGCATGCCCTCCCCTAACCCCTTGCCTGTCCTCCCCTAACCCCTTGCATGTCCTCCCCTAACCCCTTGCCTGTCCTCCCCTAACCCCTTGCCTGCCCTCCCCTAACCCCTTGCATGCCCTCCCCTAACCCCTTGCATGTCCTCCCATAAACCCTTGCATGCCCTCCCCTAACCCCTTGCCTGTCCTCCCCTAACCCCTTGCATGTCCTCCCCTAACCCCTTGCATGTCCTCCCATAAACCCTTGCATGCCCTCCCCTAACCCTTTGCCTGTCCTCCCCTAACCCCTTGCATGTCCTCCCCTAACCCCTTGCATGTCCTCCCATAAACCCTTGCACATCCTCCCCTAACCCCTTGCATGTCCTCCCCTAACCCACACAGCTCAGTCTTCATCAGAATGCTAACTAGCCTGACCAATCCTTTACATTGACATTGTACTAATCATCATCCCCCATGTGGGTTCCAGGAAGGTCCAGTTGCGTGCACATCCATTTCATAGATCTAGCTTATTTGTAGGCAGACTCTTGGTTCCTTCCTTCTCAGGCAGATGTATTCTGACATAGAAGAAAACCCTTATTAGTCGACTACTATGGCATGCCAGATGGGGAGACAGTGGGTCTATTCTTGTTTCCCCACAATGGGGCCCTGGAACCCACAGGGAGAAGGCAGAGGCAATATGTTGACTTTCACCCTATTTTAGCCACATTAAAAGACATGACTCTAGTTTTTCGAACTACAGTGGAGGGAAGAATCAAAAGCAAGATGGTAGGAGGTAGACACTGATATAATTGGGATGACAACATCAAGAGATGGATGAACCAAGACCAGCTCCAGTTGACGGCCCATGCTGCTGATGTCACCAAACAGGGTGTCGCAGCACTAATCAAGAACTGTTCCAAATCTGCTTGCAGTTTTTTTCCCCCTTCTTTTCTGAGGTATTCAAACTGCTTTAAGGGTAGGTGTGTCACAAATTTGTTTTCCCCAACGAACAAAATCTGAGAAACACTGTGTTGGCCCGGTTTGGTGATGTCAGGAGCATGGCCCGTCAGCTGGCGCTGGTCTTGGATGAACAGTAGTCTCAGAAAGTGCATGCCAAATACAAAACCAGTCTAAAAGAGTGCAGAAGGTCCATTGCAGATAAACTTCACTGTGGAAACAGCATCTGACTGATTTACTGTCGAGTACCAGAATGGTGTTGATGATTCCATTTAAACTCATCAATGTTCACTTTCTACTTAAACTGGCATCAGATTTCTACATCTGCGTTAACTCTCACAGGACTAACTTTCTAAACGTCAGACTTACCTCCAGTTTTTCCAGCTCCAAACTCCTCAGTGTAAAGTGCTGAAACTCCTTCTCCGCTACCAGCGTCACCATCAGACCACACTCTGGAAAGTACATCTCCTGCTCATACCCGTATCCTGCACCCAATGGCCAGTACTGGGAGCATTTCAGCTGTTTGGAGCAATGCCAGAGAATACATCATCATGCCATGCCTTATGCAGTAATGCATGTACTCATGCTGGTTTGTCTGACTGCTGTGAACTGCAATTCTAGAGACAATCTGTTGGTGTTGGCACCTCTGGCAGCTGTATTATGCATTTAATGCATGTGCAAAATGTTTAATTTTGCCAGGACAGCTGTCCATGTGATTTTTCACATGGGACTGCGATGGGCATTTGATGTGGTTCTCAGAGGCTCAGAATAGAGCACCTGCAGGGTGACCTGTTTGCCACGAAGCTAAAACCGCAACTGATAACCTGATAGTATGTCAGTCACCTATCACCAACAGCAGAAAGAGTGAACATCTTGTGGCTTCTTGATTTTGATGATGATGATGGTGGTGGCATTAATGGGGGGGGGGGGGGGGGAGGAGATGATAATGGTGGTGTTGAAGGTAAATATAATGGTGTGATGATGAAATTGATGATTTTTTTTTAAATGGGGGAGGGGATGACAATGGTGGTGATAAAGGTGGTGAATATCACGGTGTGATGATGGCAGCGATGAAGGTGAACATAGTGGCTATGAAGCTGAATATAATGTTGTGCTGAGGAAAGTGATAATGGTGGTGGTGGTGAGGAAGGTGAAAATGACGGTGTGATGATGATGATAATAAAGGTGAAAACGATTGGTGTAATGATGATGTGCTGACGAAAATGATGATGGTGGCGATGGAGGTGAACATGACGGTGTGATGAAGATGAAGGTGAAAACAATGGTGTAATGATGATGTGCTGACGAAAGTGACGATAAAGGTGAATATGACAGTGTGATGATTATGATGACGATGAAGGTGAAAACGATGGTGTAATGATGATGTGTTGACGAAAGTGATGATGGTGGTGATAAAGGTGATCATAGGTGAGACAGCTGGTGGTGTAATTTAAAACAACAGGGCCTCATGGCTTCATATAACTCAGGGCCTCATCATATCTAAATCTGCCCTGGATACGCATCCAACCCAATCTGAACCATCTAAACCAAACAAACATACCATGTCCTTCTCAATAAAACTGTTCAGTACAAAAACAGAACAACACAAAACAAATGAACACACTGAGTCTTCTAGGTAATTCTGTACAACATAACTCAAACCAGATAAACATACAGTGCCTTTGTAAATAATTATTTTTATCATAACAATAGCACAAAACCAAGTGAACATACCCTGACCCTCTCAATAACACCGTTCAGTACAACAACAGGTTTGAAGGTTTAAATGACGGATCAACATCATGGCACACGGGTAGTAACCCATAAGTGTTCAGTTCTTCTTCTAACTCAAGTCTGAGTTCGAAGAAGCTCAGCACAGTGCACAGGCTCTGTAGCACCGGCGAGGATCCTGAAATATTTTCGGTAGATTTTTAACTCTAAATTTTGCCCCCGGCAAGTTACTCTTTTCGATTTCTAACTGCCAAGGGATTTTTCACGTTATTAACCATGTACACGGTCGTCCGATCTCACTACCCAGAGACCAGGGGAAAGACTAGAAGTCCAAGTCCAAGATTGAACCCGGAACCTCTAGCATTTGAGGTGGACATCATGCCTTGAGACCACGCAGCCCCCCAGTACAGCACAAACCAAGCAAATATTCCCGATAACCATGCTAAGCATATCAACTGTAAAGAATAAACCAAACAAACATACCATGCTATTCTCGATAACTATTCAGCATAACAACACACACTTAACAAACATACCATTTGTTTCTCGATAACTATTCAGCACAACAACAGAACAACAAAAAACAAACATATCCTGTCCTCCTCAATAACATTCAGCATAAAAACACAAACAAACATACCGCACCCTTCTCAAAAACCCTGTTGAGCATGACAACACAAAACAAACAAACATACCGTGCCCTTCTCGATAACCATTCAGCACAACAACACAAAAGATACCGTGCCCTTCTCGATAACCCTGTTGAGCATGACAACAGCTCTGCTCTGCTGTTCCCAAATCATCTGCCAGAAGTCACCCATAGTGTGTTCCAGTGGGCCCTAGCAGGAAACAAAAATAATGGAGAACATGTTACGACAACACTGTGAATGCTGATGCTTCTTATTCTTGTTTGCTTTCACCAGCTGTAAAGTCTTGTGGAAAGTCCTGGTTGTTTGACCACTTGAGGAGTTTTTGACTTGTTCCAAAACTCGAGTATTGTGTGCACATCCTTTTTTTTTTCAGATCTGGCAAATCAACATGCAGACTGCTGGTTTCTCTCCTCTTGGGCAGGTTTGTGGGCAACTTTTTTTTTTAACCTGAGAAATTCCCAAATTGGGCTCTGATGGTCTATTTGGAGAGAGAAGGGGGGGGGGGGGGGAGACAGAACCACTGTCTTTTTAATAAACATGTGGGAAAAGTGACTTATTTGAGATTCGATGAAGCTGAATGCGCTGGACCGAAAGGCAGAGAAATCACAGCCCTACTGTAAACCACAACATAATGTACCAAACCACTCTTTTAAATGAGAATGCAGACGAAGAAGAACTGGTGGTCTCATTAAAGATTTAATAAAGAGGACCTAATAAAGGGGAAAAACAAAAGCCATCGCAGGCTACCTCTCATGGACTGCCTGTTGGCTAGCTCTCACGGACTGCCTGTTGGCTACCTCTCACGGACTGCCTGTTGGCTAGCTCTCACGGACTGCCTGTTGGCTAGCTCTCACAGACTGCCTGTTGGCTAGCTCTCACAGACTGCCTGTTGGCTAGCTCTCACGGACTGCCTGTTGGCTAGCTCTCACGGACTGCCTGTTGGCTACATCTCACAGACTGCCTGTTGGCTAGCTCTCACAGACTGCCTGTTGGCTAGCTCTCACGGACTGCCTGTTGGCTATCTCTCACGGACTGCCTGTTGGCTAGCTCTCACGGACTGCCTGTTGGCTAGCTCTCACGGACTGCCTGTTGGCTAGCTGTCACGGACTGCCTGTTGGCTACCTCTCACAGACTGCCTGTTGGCTAGCTCTCATGGACTGCCTGTTGGCTAGCTCTCACGGACTGCCTGTTGGCTAGCTCTCACGGACTGCCTGTTGGCTAGCTCTCACGGACTGCCTGTTGGCTACCTCTCACAGACTGCCTGTTGGCTAGCTCTCACAGACTGCCTGTTGGCTAGCTCTCACGGACTGCCTGTTGGCTAGCTGTCACGGACTGCCTGTTGGCTACCTCTCACAGACTGGCTGTTGGCTACCTCTCACGGACTGCCTGTTGGCTAGCTGTCACGGACTGCCTGTTGGCTACCTCTCACAGACTGCCTGTTGGCTACCTCTCACAGACTGCCTGTTGGCTACCTCTCACGGACTGCCTGTTGGCTAGCTGTCACGGACTGCCTGTTGGCTAGCTGTCACAGACTGCCTGTTGGCTAGCTGTCACAGACTGCCTGTTGGCTACCTCTCACAGACTGCCTGTTGGCTAGCTGTCACAGACTGCCTGTTGGCTACCTCTCACGGACTGCCTGTTGGCTAGCTGTCACGGACTGCCTGTTGGCTAGCTGTCACAGACTGCCTGTTGGCTAGCTCTCACGGACTGCCTGTTGGCTAGCTCTCACGGACTGCCTGTTGGCTAGCTGTCACGGACTGCCTGTTGGCTACCTCTCACAGACTGGCTGTTGGCTACCTCTCACGGACTGCCTGTTGGCTAGCTGTCACGGACTGCCTGTTGGCTACCTCTCACAGACTGCCTGTTGGCTACCTCTCACAGACTGCCTGTTGGCTACCTCTCACGGACTGCCTGTTGGCTAGCTGTCACGGACTGCCTGTTGGCTAGCTGTCACAGACTGCCTGTTGGCTAGCTGTCACAGACTGCCTGTTGGCTACCTCTCACAGACTGCCTGTTGGCTAGCTGTCACAGACTGCCTGTTGGCTACCTCTCACAGACTGCCTGTTGGCTACCTCTCACAGACTGCCTGTTGGCTAGCTGTCACAGACTGCCAGTTGGCTACCTCTCACAGACTGCCTGTTGGCTACCTCTCACAGACTGCCTGTTGGCTACCTCTCACAGACTGCCTGTTGGCTACCTCTCACAGACTGACTGTTGGCTACCTCTCACAGACTGCCTGTTGGCTAGCTGTCACAGACTGCCTGTTGGCTAGCTGTCGCAGCTGACAGGTTAGTCACCCCTGGTATGGAGAGTGCAGAAGAGCCGTCAGTGTTTCTATTCTCAAAGTGTTTTGCCCGGAGACTTTCTTTCTGCTGTGTTGATGTTTATAGCTAGTCTGTGATTTGAGAGTCTTTCAGCCAAAGACGTCTGATTTCTGTAAACCACTAATTAGTAGCCTATTACAACTTGCATGTAAAAGGACACAGAGTTCCCCCCCCCCCCCCCCCCCCCTTGGGCAATCTGGAGACATCCAACATTTCTTTTTCTTCTACGTTTATACTGTTGCCTGAAGCCGATACTTGATTCAGGACGGCCTCTCATCTCTTCATAACTCTCTCTCTCGACAGTTTCTCCACCTCTCATCCTCCCTCTTTCACACACACACAATACTGGTTCAAACCACAGCTCTGGAGAAGAAACAACGACACACCTGGGTAAGGATGTATCTTCTGTTGGCCTCTGGAACCTCAATAAAACTGGCATTGATGTATTCGCTCTCTCCGGACAACTTCACTCTGCTGTGATCATCTGTGGTATGTACAAGAGGGGCACCGATGAAAGGGGCGACAATAAACCTTCATAAGTGACTGTAAACAATTTCAGAGAATAAAATGGTAATAATCAGTGAGATGAGCCAGATATTTTCTTTACTGACATAGACAGAAATTTTCCATAATGATGCGAAACAGATATTTTCCATACTGACATTGACAGATATTTTCCATAATGACACAGACAGATATTTTCTATAATGACGTGAACAGATATTTTCTATAATGACACAGACATATATTTTCTATAATGACACAGACAGATATTTTCTATAATGACGTGGACAGACATTTTCTATAATGACACAGACAGACATTTTCTATAATGACACAGACAGATATTTTCTAAAATGACGTGAACAGATATTTTCTACAATGACATGGACAGATATTTTCTATAATGACGTGGACAGACATTTTCCATAATGACATGGACAGATATTTTCTATACCGACATAGACAGATATTTTCCATACCGACATAGACAGATATTTTCCGTACTGACATAGACAGATATTTTCCATACTGACATGGACAGATATTTTCTACAATGACACAGATATTATCCATAATTACATAGACAGATATTTTCTGTAATGACGTGGACAGATATTTTCTGTAATGACGTGGACAGATATTTTGTATAATGACGTGGACAGATATTTTCTATAATGACATGGACATACATTTTCTATAAATGACATGGACCAACAATCTCTATACGTACATGGACTGACATCTCTGTAGCGGTTTTTGCGTCGATTGTCTGGATCTCTGGCAACCTTTGTTGAAAAATGTTCGCCCAGCGATGCCAAGGATGACTCATTTTTCAATCTCTAATTAAAAGTAAAAGGTAAAAAAAAAAAAAAAGTTTAAGACCCTTTTTAATGACCTCAGGCATATTTAGAATATATAGCTAGAACTTTATTATAATTTTTTCAAAAATTATATGGCTCCCATGTTAACCCCGTCTTGAGTGAGTATGAGGTAAAGTCCTGGGAAATAAAGGTGGCTGGTGCGATTTTGACCACACATCCCATCAAGTGTCGATTGGTCTATAACAGGGCTACTGAGCTGTTTGCTCCAGGACAAAAATGTTGAAAATGTAGATTGTCACGAGCCAGCTGCCCGAGCCCCAGTGTAGAAAGACCACTAATATAATAGTTGGCAATGATCCGCGGCCACTTGCTAGGCCTTGATGGGCCATCCGTTTAATAGCCCTATTCCATAAAATATAGGTCTAGCCCTATAAGTCCCTCACGCCAAAAGGCATGGAAAAGGGTCCTTTACTTTTCTTTATGATAAAATAACAAATGTGAAACTTATGGAGAAAATTAACTAAATTTAAACCCTGGTGAACGAAGAGTTGTAAAAAGGACACTGGAGCTGGAAACCTTCCACTAATTTAAAAGAGAGAGAAATGACTGCATTGCACTAAGTTTTATTCCAAACAGCCTGGTCTCTCTTTGCAGATGAGTGAGGATTATCATTACAGTACTCTGGACAGACTCATAAGTACTCTGATCTCCTCAAAAGCATAAAATGACTGAGGATGCCTGTTCTATATTGATTAATCAAATGTCTTGTGCCTTTGGTGAAACATTCATTTCTTGCAGCTCCCCATGTCCATCAGCGGGCTGCAAGGGAATACAGACTCATGCCCATCTGCCTTATTCATCTTCACAAATTGCTACACGTGACACTGATCTCATGTCAAGTACTGGACGGATGAATACAGATAAGTAGAGGACATAAGGAGTGCTGACACACACAAAATTGATATTATAGGTGGTTGGAAAGGGGAAGCTCACAGGGCCCCTTATAAATTTTCTAGGGGTGGCTCAAGAGGTCTAAGCCTTCTTTAACTCTTTCAGTCCCAAGGAACACATCATACACTCCTACCAAAAAGCCCAATGAAAGAAAGATGTGACAATTTTACATTTCTCTTTGCTACCCACTCCAATGCTAAACCATCTCCTGAGACAGAGTTGAACATGCAGAATAATAATTACTATAACATTATTAGTACTATGACTTAATCCCCTAGCTAACACATTTATTTTCTGGGAAAAGAAGAAAGGCTAAAGCAATCCCTTAAAAATGTGGGAAAAGGTTGGGGGGGGGGGGGGCGCTCAACGTTATGAATGAGCCTCCAAGTTAGTTACGGCGACCCTGGAACTTCAACCTAGAGAAGTAGAAAGTTTGAAGGAAGGATCGGCAAACGATCCAAATAGCTACGCTGCTACGTCTATACACTATACACACAAAAGAAGGATAAATCATAATCTCAGTGTCAGTCTGATCCGATTTGGAGTCCGATGGGCTTGTGCTCTACTATGACCATTGGAGATAAAAATCACACGAAGAAAGAGACAGTACTACTTCATAGTACTTCTTTACAAACAACTTCAGGATAAGGTGAAAATTCTTGGCTGTAAGTCTTTAATGTGACGATACACTGGATACAATAATTCCAGGAATTTTGTTCATCTCCGACTCGGCTTCACAGTACTTCACGGCTATCTTATGTTCAATTTCAAAACTGAAAAAGTCTAAGCTGAAAAAACCTACAAACCTGAAAAACTTCATTCCAACTGTTCTTAGCATCGAACTCGGCAAATTCAGTTTCAGTCTGTGAAGACATGGTGTAATCCTGCGGTGTTGTTGAGACTCAGGGATCAAACATGTTTTGATTATGGAATTCTTCAAAAATATCTTCTTCCTTCCTCCATGAGCGACCGGACGTTCAATCACAGCAGGCCACTTCCGGTCTCTGCTCCAATGAAAATCGCCATGTTTGGCTTGTGGTGTAAACGATGGTTTGTCGTCTTCACAATGAAGGATGGTTGCCAGAGAGTTTAGCCCCACCCCTTCACTCCGAATAAATATGCAGAGGCTGGGCTTAACCCCTACACCCCCCCCCAAATAAAATAGAGGACAGAGATTTTCAACCCTTTTTTTTCAGGCGGCGGCCCACAAGCATGTCGTAAAAGGCGACTAATTAGGGATGTCTCTGTCGAAGTCAGCGTGCATCTGCCTAATCTGTAAAACAGAATTGCATACACAACTCAAATTGTGAAGTAAGACCAAAGACCAGAAGTGGACGAACAACTAGGACTTTCCTCCATAGCTTACAGCTAGTGAATGATAAAAAGAAGAAGGATTAACACCCCGACAATGTTTGTTTGAGTCACTGGCTGTTAATCTTTCGAATACAAAGTGGGGTTTGTTTTAATGGGAAAAAAGGGGGCGAGGCAAACAAAAACGTATTAAATTACTTTTTTTTTCAATTCACATCTTACATGATGTGCATTGCACTTTAGTGTTATATTATTCTTGCATCTTGTTTAGGCCGCTCTGCAATACCGGTAATCTAGTAATCCTAGTTTCAGTTTCATAGCAAACGGTCACCCCATAGTTGCTCGGCTTCTGTGCCAACAAAAAACACACGTAGCTCACAGTGTCAAGCCATGCACTCAACCCAGAAGCTGGGCGACGAAACTATATCCTTACAGTCTACAAATGGAGCAAACATGCAACGGCCACCGTCTTGCAGAAACAAAAACAAACAAAAAACATTTGTCACGGCTTAAAAAAAAGGTGGCCGTGCCTAGCGTCCATTTTGACCTGAAGCATTATATAAGGGATAATAAACGGTCACCCCAGCAGTACCCTCACTATTAGCTGGGGAAGGGACTTAGGACATTACATCCACCAGCAGGCGTCGCGCCTACAACGACCTGCCTACCTTGGTTTAACAGCCATGCAGTTCTTTGGCACGAAGGAGACACCTTGAACTTGGGTTTCGGACTGCCGATCAAGGTATTTTATGTTTTGTTATCACAATCGATGTCACTGCACATTGGGCATAACCATGCGTGCTCAGTCCTCCGAAGCAGCAGCCACTCCTAAGTACTTCTACTGCAATACTATCTGCTGTTAGCAATAACACCACAGAGCAGCTCCGACTACTTATTCTTGTAGATGTGGAAATCAAGGGGAGACTACGACTATGATAGTTAGTTAGTCGATAGTTTACCCTCACTGCATATTGAACCATTCAGTCCATATGTACTCAGATTTCCTCCTCAGTAAATCCTGCAGTGTGTGGCACATGATGACAATATTTATGTTTGGTTTATTCTTCTTCTTTGACTTCCTGCATAGTGTTCTTGTCTGACCACACCACTTTTAACGCTGTTTTTGCAGTCTGGTTACGGTTCAGTGTTGCCACTTTTCTTTGACAAAAAACATCCAAAACGGAGTCAACAAATATCTAAACACATCTAAATTTGCGTGGAAAACATCCAAATGTAAAGAGACAAATTACATAGCAATTGATACGACTGCAAGGGAAAACATCTAGATCTGGATGTAAAACATCCAAAGTGGCAACACTGTTACGGTTACAGATTCAGTCATCACTTGGTTCTCACAAACATTCTACTTCTCGTAGAGCATTCAGTTTATCAGCCTGGTCGATGGCTCGTTTGCCCTCAATAGTAGCTTTACCTGCTTGCTCATTTCCTTGCCTGCCCTGGCATGAATGTTAAATGTTGAATTAAGAATCGACATCACAGCACTGGGGACACTCCCATAAGTGCTCAGTCCCCACCTTCAGCAGCAAGCAAAAAGTTCCATTTCTAATGGTACCAGTAACCGTCTGACTGTATATCCGCCTCCTCCTTCCCTTGAGTGTTGAGCGTCAGCCAGATCCCCTGGTAACTCGTCGCCGCGCCATTTTCATCAGACGATAATATCTATCTGTACCTCCGCACTGTTCACCCATTCCCAAAGGGCCCTCACAATATCTAACTTGTCATATATCACTTCACTACCAGGTGGTGCTGAGCCAGCCAGTCTATCTGTCTGCTCATTTCTGAACACACCGGCATAACTTGGAGAAAATACCCAAAGGATGCTAATTACCTCTGAAGTGATGCTTGCCACTCTGCACTAAGCATGCTTGAACATCAAGGAGAATTCACACAAAAACAGCATCCTGTCCCAAAAGTTGACCATGTGAAATCGCATGATGGTCAGGAGAGATAAGTGATGGAGGGTACATTTCTGGACAATAAGGCAAAGGCAGACTGCGGTGAAGTAGATATAGGACATAGAAGATGAATTAGGCTGGGGAATTGGTTTCAGAAAGCAAGACTTTCAGGTGTGTACTGGTAACAGCGACGATCCATGATGGATCTGCTGATTGACTGAATAACTGTGTGCTCCCAGTAACCTATCAGAGACCTACGTATTGCTTCTCCTGTTCCTTCAATGATCTCAACATGTATTGGTGTACTGTGTATATCAGTGTGTATTTGCATGTATGAATTAAAGTTAAAGGAGATGATCAAGTTCATTGCACCATGTTTTATCTCAAATGGCTCAGTCTCTCTCCATAGAACAGCTAGCAGACTGCCAAGAACATCACACAAAGCATTAACCCAGTAGTTCTGGTGACGATCCCCTGGGATATCAGTAAAAGCTGCATGTGTGAACAGAAGGTCGCAGCCGTGAGAGGCACACACAACCCACACAGCACAAGGCAAATGTCTCAACCAGTTTACCATGGAGACCCCTTGTATGTGTATGTTTTGCCTTGACTTCAACAATCATATACAGCGCTGACTCCCAGGTTGACCCAGCCTTGAGTGGGAACCGGGTGCAGTACCAGGAAGTAAAAGCGGCTGGCGTGATGCTGACCACATCATCCATCTTGTGCAGATTGGTCTATAAAAATATAGGTGTAGCCCTATATGCCTAAAGGCCTGGTAAAGGGACCTTTACTTTACACTACTGAAGGTGAAACTGCCTAGAGAAACTGACACATTCTGGGGTGATGTCCTGCTGAGGACTTCTTCACCCAGTTTGGATTTGGGGGTCCCATTGTGGGACAAACAAGAATAGTGGGACAAACATGAATAGTGGGACAAACAAGAATTGTGGGACAAACAAGAATAGTGGGACAAACATGAATAGTGGGACAAACAAGAATTGTGGGACAAACAAGAATAGTGGGACAAACATGAATAGTGAGACAAACAAGTATAGTGGGACAAAGATGAATAGTGGGACAAACATGAATAGTGGGACAAACAAGAATATTGGGACAAACAAGAATAGTGGGACAAAAATGAATAGTGGGACAAACAAGAATAGTGGGACAAACAAGAATAGTGGGACAAACATGAATAGTGGGACAAACAAGAATAGTGGGACAAACAAAAATTGTGGGACAAACATGAATAGTGGGACAAACAAGAGTTGTGGGACAAACAATAATAGTGGGACAAACATGAATAGTGGGACAAACATGAATAGTGGGACAAACAAGAATAGTGGGACAAACATGAATAGTGAGACAAACAAGTATAGTGGGACAAAGATGAATAGTGGGACAAACATGAATAGTGGGACAAACAAGAATAGTGGGACAAACAAGAATAGTGGGACAAAAATGAATAGTGGGACAAACAAGAATAGTGGGACAAACAAGAATAGTGGGACAAACATGAATAGTGGGACAAACAAGAATAGTGGGACAAACAAGAATTGTGGGACAAGTAAGAATAGTGGGACAACAAGAATAGTGGGACAAACAAGAATAATGGGACAAACATGAATAGTGGGACACACATACATAGTGGGACAAACAAGAATAGTGGGACAAACATGAATAGTGGGACAAACAAGAATAGTGGGACAAACAATAATAGTGGGACAAACAAGAATAGTGGGACAAACAAGAATAGTGGGACATTAAGAATAGTGGGACGAACAAGAATAGATTCACTGCTTTCACAAAAAGCATGTCATATGAGTCAACTAATTGGAGGTTTCCTTTGAAGTTGGAGTACATCTGCCTGAGAGCCAAGGAACCAACAATCTGCATACAAATAAGCTAGATCTGTAAAAAGGGTGTGCACACAGGTTCTGGAATGCAACTAAAGTCCAGAGGTCGATGAAGAACTAGAACGTTTCACCGGAGTTTACAGCCAGTGAGCGAGAAAAAGAAGAAAGCTAACTTCATATGTATGCATACACTTACAGATTGTATATATGCATGCATGTACGTATGTATGCATGTATCTACGTACATACATACATATGTATGTACATATGCATGTATGCATGTACATATGTGTGTGTGTCTATGTGTGTGTGTATATGTATGAGTGAGTTTGTACAGTTAAGTTTAAATGTATGCTTGCATGCCTATTCATACACAGTTTCAAGTGAGTACAATAACAGATTTGATAAACTAAATTTAAAAAAAAAACAAAAAAGTCATCCCTGAAAATACTCTAAAGTTTAATGTAGCTCCATGGATTATGACATGTACAGAAAGAGAGGAAGAGGGTTAAGAGAGAGAAGGAGAGAGAAAGAGAGGGGAAGACATGTATGTACACACATGCATGTATGCGCAAAGGTATAAACGCTCACACATAAGTATGAAATATACACAGATTATATTTAAATTTCACATTTATCTTACAAATAACCTGGTTTTTGTGCACTACTTTTTTTTAAAAATAGCTGCACAGTGAAACCACCACTAAGTCTCAAAATGATTTCTTTTCATAAAATAAAATGGTAAGGAACCTTTTCAAAATACAGGTGCTCCAGAAACAATTGAGAGCTGTAAATTAGACGTAGACAGTAATGATTCACGTGTGCGATTTTATTATGGAGATCCTTGGGGATCAATGCCAGAGTCATGGAGTTTGTTCTGTATACAAAGCTTTTGGTATGCGGCTAGTCGTTCTAGGGACAGACATCAAGACATAAGGGATTAAACCCGGTGCAATGAAGTCGATCTTCTCGACTTTAACCAAACATCAGATGCATCAATTGTAGCTTCTTTTTCTATGTTTGACCTTAAAAGAGTGGTTTGCACATTGTTTTGTGGTTTACAGCTAGGCTGCAATATCTGTGCCTTTAAACCCAACACATTAGATTTCAGTTTCTTCTTCACTTTCTCTTTTACCACCTTGGGTGTGGGTGGTAAACAGGACAAAGTTGGGAACCACTAGGATTAGGCGAAGCACTGTAGTCATGTGCCATGAGGCCGCTACGGTAATCATAAAGGTTTGAAATATCCTGGCCAACGGGTATTTGGTAAGGTTACAACACGCCTAGCAAGCTGGCAACGGATTTATTATCACTTCATAGAATGCAATTTCAGCATACCTGACTTAATTGCCCTCTACAACATTGCTGTTAAGGGTCGGAGTCTGTGGCATAGGTGTGAATGGACTTTGTGATTCCATGGTGCTTGGTTAAACTCCAGCTGCGATCAATTTGTGGCATGAGGCTGCCTTGTATTGGTTCTGACAATGGTATCGACGGACGACCATTTAAAAGTAATGGCAAACTACTGAATATGAAATTGCCTAGTGAAAGAATAAAAAAAATTGCAGAGATTGATTCTGCAATGTCCTGTGTAAATGGATCTATCGACTGAGATGAAAATGATAACATCTATTAACTCTTTCAGTTGCAAACAATGTATGACATGTGGGTAATTCTTCCACATGAAACCCGACGATCATATATTGTGTTGTTAGACATTTCACATTTAGCTAACACATTTTAAAGAAATCTGGCATCCCAACTGGTAACCTAATTTGCTGCATATTTAGCCTCTTTGAAAACAATGTATTCATGATTTGTCTTGAGTGGCTATTTTTCAATCTGAGCATCTAAGCAAAACTTTACAGACACGAGTTATAAAGCCCTCGTCTTTCGCATAATCAATCAGTTACGTCTGCAGAATACAGCCTAACTCTTTGCTTACTCAATTTCTTTTTTATTTTTGTTTTCTCCGCTGAACTGCCAGAGATTTCAAAATCAAAGTCTGGCAAACGCATGCTCAGTAAAGCTTTGTGGCCATCTTCAACTTTCAACTTCAAACTGGCAATACTGTGTTGGGAGAATTTCTCTTGAAAAATTGAGCTTTTCTGCACCAGTTGCATGGCTGAGTGTTCGTCGAGTAGGTCAAAGTCTTGGTAGGGCACTCCCACTTCAAAAACATCCACATCATTGATCTGAAAGAAACAAAAAAGAAATATAAATTTAGCTCTTTCTTAAGTTGAGTCAAGAATTGACATCACAGCACTCGGGGCAATCCCATGTGTACTCCGTCCTCATCTACAGCAGCCAGCGCAGAGTTCCAATACTGATGGTACCGGTCGCAATCTGGTTATATGTCCATTTTGTCTTTCCTCTGAGTGTAGACAGCCGGCCAGACCCTCTGGTTACACCCAGGTGCCTCATTCTCTCCAGGTCATAATAATCTTGTTCCTCTACTGATTCAGCTGCTTGTTCCCAAAGGGCCTTGACATCATTTGCCTTGTCATGTATCAATTCACCACCCAGTGGTGCAGATCCAGCCAATCTGTCTGCCTGTTCATTACCCACCACACGCATGCATCGCCTTAAGAAAAGTAAGAAATCAATGACTGCTATACATCTATTCCAGCATATAATGGACAAGAAAGTCCACTACAATAAAAGTCTAACATGCATAAGAAGCAGGTATTCATTCTGTGTTGTTTAAATCCCAGGTCTGCAGGCTGCTTCTAAAGGTAAAGCTAGTGATGAATGTTAAGAGTTAGTTGCGTATCTTTTACAGGATGTTGCAGAACCAACCCCAGCATTTTTTAGGTGTGGTGGTTTTTCTAGGCAAATTTACGTCCATAAGTTTGCCATTGCTTTCTGGATGGTCGGCTTCTCGATATCAATATAAGGTGCAAAGCCTGCAGCTGGGATCGAACCTGGCACCCCAGCATTACGAAACCCCTTCGCAGTGCCTAAGCCACAGACGCTGACAGTAACGATGAATGAGAGGTTCAAGATATGGAAGTGAGGTTAAACCATTATGAGCAGGACGTGATGATTCCTTAGGCAAGTGCAGTCCCAGAGCAGCACAAGCTGGTTCTGCATTTATGGAAGCCTCCATAGATTTTGGGGAAACGCTCATGTTTTGCCCCTTCCTTTTCTTGAGGGCTGAACAGCATTATGGCTGCTCTGGTCTGGTCTGATGAAAGGCACCACCTGTGGACTAGGAAACAAAGATGACCAAACAACAGTGAGACTGCAATGTTCCACAACTCTTACCAGGAAGGCTAACCCAGGCAACCAAGGCCTGCAGAAGTCCAGTGTCGGCCAGAAGGTACAAATACCGCAGCCATATTGCAGATGGGCACAATGCATTGATGTCTTTGGAAAGCTGAAGAAGAAGCAGCAGCAGAAAAAAAAAGAAGAGAAGAAGAAGAAGAAGAAGAAGAATCAGAAGCAGAAGAAGAAGCAGAAGAACCTATATCACGTAAGATTTTTTGATAATTAACCTTGGCTTGATGCTGACTAGATCGCCCATGGATTGCTGAGAGGTCTAAAAAAAAGTATATGCCTAGCATCACATGCCCTCATGTACAGCGGGTGAGAAATAGGGTCCCTACCTTAATTTTACTCTAGCATAGGTCACAAAAAGGACAGTGTGCTTAAATCAAAATCTTTATTCTATCCCCTTTTAATTTCCAGAATCTTCCACTCATGGAACATTTATGACCACAGCTCTGAAGATTTGAGATGTACCTCAGCAGTCCCTGCTGCCTTCCACTAGCTTGAGATTCAGCTGTGCACACATGCCATGATTGTAACTGACTCACAGACCATGTTGAGAAGGTGAAAACAGGCATGCTTCATGCAGGGTGGCAATGTTCCTTCTGAGGTCCCGGGTAGTTAGCATCCTTTGGATATTTTCTCCAGGTGATGCCGGTGTGTTGGGAAATGAGCATGCAGATAGACTGGCTGGCTCTGAACCACTTGGTGTTTGATTCATGTGTGACAAGCTAGATGTTGTGAGGCCCTTTTTTGGGAGCGAGTGAACAGTGAGGAGGCACAGATAGATCATTATGGTCTGAGAAGAATGGCACTGCGAGGAGTTGCCAGGGGATCTGACCGACGATCAACACTCAGGTCAGTGAGGAGACGGATATACAATCAGACAGTTACTAGTGCTGCTTAATATAAGGACTGAGCGTTTATGGGAGTGTCCCGAGTGCTGTGATGTCGATTCTTGATTCCACATTCAAGATCTTCACTGGTGACCCACAGTTTGTCTAGTATTATTTAGGAAAATACTGCACAAAAGATACAGGGAAAGAATATTAAAGTCTAAACAATACATTATATACGCCCTGTTTCCCTGAACAAAATACCGGTTCATACAAATTTTTGCTTTAGAAAAATGCACTAGGGCTTACTTTCCAGGGATGTCCTATTTTTTTTGTTTTAGTTACAAAATTCTACATTTATTTATGTAGAAAATTCTACAATTATTCAAATTATGAGACTTGAGAACAATGGCATAAACAAAAGCAACGAGAAATGCTGACGTCAAAATTCTGCTTCATTATTTCAAGAGTTGGATCTGGAAAAGGCATTTGACAAGGTACCCTGGAACAAGCTCTGGGACTGCTTGGCAGGGAAAAACATCCCAGCACCCCTGATCAGTGCAATACAGAGTTTCTACAAAAAGTGCAGAAATTATGTAAGAACAGCAGACCAAAAGTCAGAAGAATTTAAGACCACCAGCGGTGTTAGACAAGGTGATATTCTCTCACCTTACCTCTTCATTCTTATGATGGATGATGTCATCAAGACCTGTAAGGAGAAGACAAAGAAGTACTCTGTAGGGTACTGGAAGATGAGACCAATCTGTATATCAGAGCTGGCTTTTGCAGACGATGTGGCCCTGATAGCTAAATCAGAGGCACACCTTCAGTCCAACTTACTTGTCTGGAAGGAAGAGCTTGAAAAGAAAGGGATGACCATCAGTGTCTCCAAAACTAAAACCATGGTGATCTCAAGAGAGGAGAAGAAACACCAGATCATGATGGGTCAGTATGCGTTGGAGCAGGTTAACCAGTTCAAATACCTTGGAGTTGTATTAGACCAAAATGGAGGCATTAAGACTGAGCTGGCTACACGAAAAGCAGCTGCTGGGAGACTCTTCCAGGCCATAAACCGAGGGTTTCTTAGCAAAAGAGAAATTGGCAAGAGGACGAAAATGGCTGTTTACCGCTCTACCTATGTACCAGTCCTGACCTATGGGTGTGAGTCATGGGCAATTGAAAACAGCTCACAGAAGTCAGCTGCAGGCCTCGGAAATGAGATACCTGAGAAAGGTGGTCCAAGTGACAAGAAGGGACAAAGTCCGCAATCAGACAATACGTCAAGATCTTGATACCCAGCCCTTACTAACCCGAGTGGATCAGTCACAGTTACGATGGTTTGGACATGTGTGCAGAATGGGAGAAAATCGGCCACCATGGCAAGCATGGGAGGCTAAGAACCAGGGAACCAGACCTCCGGGACGACCCAGGGTGCGCTGGGAAGACAACATCCGACAGTCCCTGACTGACAGAGGACTGGAATGGAACAAAGCCAGAAAGAAAACTGCTGATAGAGACGTCTGGCGATCTCTCTGGCAAACCTCTACACCCCAAGGTAGAAGAGGAGCGACTAAGTAAGTAAGTAAGTGAAGTATTTCAAGAGTGATCTATCTTGAATCACGAACCACATCCATTCATTATCAAGTGCGAACCAGTGGCGTCTGTACTCCAAATGGCCGTCTCTCAATCTAGGGCTTATTGTTGGGGGTCTCCGTGATGAAGTGGTCAAGCCATTTGCCTCGAGCTCTGGAGGTCATGGGTTTTTACGAAGATCCTTGGGCATTGTTGCCAGAGCTATTGTTCGTGCTCTGTGTAGCGCTCTTGGCAGGCGGCTAGCCATTTTTGGAGAGAGACTGAGCCATATGGAATAAAACTTGGTGCAATAAAGTCTATAATCTCCACTTTAGCCTTTTAACTATAGTGGGAAGGGCTTATAATGAAAACGTATTTTAAAAAAATGCTAGGGCTCATGGTCAGAGAAGGTATTATTTTCAGAGAAGGCATTTTTTTTTGGAGAAGGCATTACTCTCAGAGAAGGCATTATTTTTAGAAAAGGCATTATTTTCGGGGAAGGTATTAATTTTGTGGAAGGTATTATTTTTGTGGAAGGTATTATTTTGGGACAATGTATTATTTTTGGAAAAGGTCTCAGAATCTGAGAAAAACGGGATGTACAACAAGGCTTTCCCGATTTTCATCTGAAAGTTCATGACCTGTGGCTTTGGTAGCAATGTCTATCCACAACCTTCTGTCTCGTGTACTTTCAATCAACTCTGATACAGATGATCCTCCATTACATGATGTCATTTCTCTCTGTGTTCTCCCTCCCTATCCTGACATTGCCTACTTAACTTCTCACATGCCAACTGCTGTACAGAAATAAGGGTCTAACTTTATATATCCGATGCAGGCAAGCATGAGAAAGGTCATACAAGCATGAGAAAGGTCATACAAGCATGAGAAAGGTCATACAAGCATGAGAAAGGTCATACAAGCATGAGAAAGGTCATACAAGCATGAGAAAGGTCTTTCCCTTTTCTTTTACATCACAATTTACCAAGACGACTGACGGTCTTTTATTTTTAGTTCAATCCAATTCCAAGGATTTTGAGAGGTCCCAGAGAAAGTCCAATATTATAGGGGTTTTACAGTGTGAAATAAGCAATGACACTCGTAACACCCCCCCCCCCCCCCCCCATGATACTGGATTTTCCCTGGGAACTCTCGGATTCCCAGAGATGGAGTTAGCTAAAATAACAGTACCCAACTAACTTACCTTGCAGACTAATGGCATCAGAAAATCGTCATCCAGCTGCGGCCATGCTTGCTCCAAGACTGGAAGATTCTGGAAATAATTATCAGTGGCTAAAATAAATATACTGTGATAGAGAGAAGTCATATCTTCAGAGCTGTGGCCACGCCCACTCCATGAGTGGAAGATTCTGGAAATAATTATCAGTTGATAAAATAAATATACTGTAATAGAGAGAAGTAATATCTTCAGAGCTGTGGCCACGCCCACTCCATGAGTGGAAGATTCTGGAAATAATTATCAGTGGCTAAAATAAATATACTGTGATAGAGAGAAGTAATATCTTCAGAGCTGTGGCCACGCCCACTCCATGAGTGGAAGATTCTGGAAATAATTATCAGTGGCTAAAATAAATATACTGTGATAGAGAGAAGTCATTTCTTCAGAGCTGTGGCCACGCCCACTCCATGAGCGGAAGATTCTGGACATAACCAGTAAAAAGTAAAGGACCCTTTTCCACGCCTTCAGGCGTATTGGGCATATAGGGCTAGACCTAAATTTTACTGACCATTCGGCACTCTGAGGTTGATATGGACAGCATGATACTGGCCGTGGAAATGACCAGTGGATAAAATCAATATTCTGAAACAGAGGTACGTCTCAAATCTTCAGAGCTTTGGCCATAAATGTTCCCTGAGTGGAAGATTTTGGAAATAATAAGGGGACAGGTTTAAGATTTTGATACACAGAGATTCCTTGTGTGAGTTTTAGGGCCCCATTGTGGGGGGGGGGGGGGAGGGAGGGGAACGTGAACACACTATCCCCAACAAGCATGTCTTAAAAGTCCAATAATTAGGGGCTATTCGGTACTTTTCGTTCTGTTTTATATCTTTTCCTTTGAAGTCAGAGTGCCATCTGCCTGAGAGGCAAAGATTAATGGACTATCCTCTGAATAATGGTTCAAAATTATTGAGGCTAAGAGAATACCTTAATCATATGTAAATTGTGGACTTATTTCAGGCAAATATACCGCGGGAAATATTTCTCCGAATAACGGTCCCGAATCATTGAGGGTGTCAACAGCTCCGACACTGAGTGCTAGGTTTAACTTCTCCCCTGGGTCCTAGGTTTAGCTTCGCCCCTGGGTCCTAGGTTTAGCTTCTTCCCTGGGTCCTAGGTTTGTCTTCGCCACTGGGTCCTAGGTTTAACTTCTCCCCTGGGTCCTAGGTTTAACTTCTCCCCTGGGTCCTAGGTTTGTCTTCGCCACTGGGTCCTAGGTTTAACTTCTTCCCTAGGTCCTAGGTTTAACTTCTCCCCTGGGTCCTAGGTTTAGCTTCGCCCCTGGGTCCTAGGTTTAACTTCGACCCTGGGTCCTAGGTTTAACTTCTCCACTGGGTCCTAGGTTTAGCTTCGCCCCTGGGTCCTAGGTTTAGCTTCTTCCCTGGGTCCTAGGTTTGTCTTGGCCCCTGGGTCCTAGGTTAGGGTTAGTCAAGGAGTATTGCAATTACAACACCGCCAGCAGAATCTGTCACAACAGTGGAACCGTGACACTATCGATTGAAGTGTTATGGATGGAACTTTTGCGGGTTACCACGGCGGCGCTAGTCGCGCGTTGTTTACTGAATATTTAGCGCAGTTTCCTGGCGGCACAGTCACAAACACTGAGGCCCTGTTAGGGTATTTTTTTAGCCTTAATAATTTGGGATCGTTATTCGGAGGATAGTCGATTAATGTATTCAATGCATTAAACAGAGCACACAGATGATCCTTACATTTCCTCCAACATTTCGAGGAGGTAACTGGAGAAACAGAATAGGAACGAATAGACGAAGAGTCACTGTAATAATTTTTTTAAAATATAACAAAAAAACACAACATAAACAAAATAATACACAACCCAAAAAAAAATTTAGTTGTGGATAAATCAGTGAGTTAAAATTTATCAACACCATAAGGCACGGACACACAACATTATCAATCAGCATGTCCTTTACAGAACGTGTGTCGTCATGGCACGCTTAAAGTCTCTCTTTGGCTAGCCAGTTCTCCAGCCCTATGTGCTTTCATAGCCAATGCATCATCAATATCTAGTATCCACATTCACATAGGTCTGCCTCTGCCTCAGATTCTTGGAACTGTCAATGGGCACATTCCACAGCTTGTATTGAAAATTTTGACGCTATTGATAATGTTTATTATTACTCGATGTATAAATGAAATGATGTGGGAAAGGAGAAAGACTAGAAGGGCATAATGTTAGACGGGACTGTACGACTATTTCTTTATCCTTTTGAAAATAACATGTTTTTTTATGTGTTCTGTAGCATTTTAGTTCAAAAGTTACAGAAAAATGAAAACAAAACCACGCCAGACTCACCCACTGATGTGTTTCGAACTGAGCTACATCTGCAAGCCCCGCCCACAGTTCAGAAGCAAAGTGTGGTGCCATGGAACTTAGCATGACAACAAGGTCAGCCAGGGCACGCTCATAAGCCTTGCTGGTACTTGTCACTTCAGGCGGCACTTTCTGAAAGTGTTCAATTATAATTTAAGTACTTGAAAAAATAATTTTTTGCTGTGTTGAATTGCTGAACATTATGTCGCAATTGCCAGGTATGGGTGCTCACAAAAAAGAAAAGTAAATTAGTAACTTTAAAATGAGATGTCTGAAAAAGGCTGTGAGTGTAGAAGGCATCAAACCTGGAAGGAATTTGCAAGAAAAAGTCAGAACCCATGTCAAACTTCATTCAAAAATTGCAAGTAAAATACAAGAAGCTTCCAATTCTCATTCTTTTTTTTTATTGCCTTACTGATAGCAGGCTGTAGCCCGGTGTTGTGGTTTTCTGTATTTGTCTTGCGCTTCTCAAGTAGCTTGGGTGATGGATTTGCTCAACTTTTTCAGGTTTTGGCTACACCATTTATCCATCTCTTTCTTGGTCTTCCTCTCACCTTCCTTCCAGATCTTCTGCTGTAAAAGTCTCAGCTACACTTTGGCTTTGCTGCATTCTCACTAGATGGCCAAACCATTTCATTCTTTGTCAGTATAATCCAGACATGGTCTTGTACTAACTTTCTCTCTAATGCTTGTATTCGTAACCCTGTCTCTTCTTATGTTGTTAGTGAAGCTTCCAATGAAAACCTTAAAAGTGGTAGTAATTACAGTAACCATGCTATTGTGTTGTAACCTGTCAATATTGTTGTTAAGGATGTCAAGAGTGTTAAGCATGTGACAACATGGTGACAGTTTAAAAATGGTCGCCCCACCAGGTTTTGATTCAGCAGCAGACAATTTGACAGCAGTTCAGAAAGCAATGGCAAACTACTGAATGTAAAACTGTTGATGGGATTAGTTTGCAATGTCTTGTAAAGGATACGCAACTAAAGAAACTTACCATCAACCAGGTTACATAAGTATGAAGTCTTGAGATGGCCGAGTTGATATGAAATGTCCGATCAAACTGAAAGGTCACCTAAAAGAAAAAAATTAAATGTGTACGTCTGTTACGCTTCTCTCCGTGTGAATTTCATGGCCTCATTCTAAAGGAAAAAGAATATATGCCCTCTCACAAGCATGCTGTAAGAGTCAACTAATTAAGGTTGTTTCCTTTCAAGTCAGAGTGCATCTAGTTACTTAGTCGACAGATTATCCTCATTGCACATTGAACCATTCAGTCCATAAGTGCTCGGATCCCCTCCTCAGTAAATCCTGCAGCGTGTAGCGGCTCTTGACATCAGTTCTGTGTTGATTTCTCGGTCATGCTCAGGCTCACAATCGATTGTCTACACTGCCCTTTTTCTTCTAAAGGTCCTTGCTGTGTGACGTTAGTAGTCATGTTTATCCACAACCTTCTGTCTCATAGACTTTCAATCAGCTCTAATACAGATGATCCTCCGTGCCATGATGTCAGACTTTCCAGCATTATTTTCTCTCTGCCTCTCCTTCCCTCCAACATTCCTACTGTCACAATGTACACCAGTTTTGTCCTTACTACATGACCAAAGAATGTAGATCGTTTCTTTCAGATGTGGGCAATCAGTTCTCTTCATGAGTCAGTTTCTTTCAAGACACCCTCATTACACTTTTTATCTGTCCTGGGTATGCTAATCATTCATCTATAAAACCACATCTCCACAGCTTCCAAATAAGTTTTCACTAATTTACCAAATGTCCATGATTCACTTCCATATATCAAGACAGGATTTATATAGCTTTTAAGAAGTTCTCTTTTGTCTCAACTGACAAAGAAAGATTGCATAAAATATTCTTCATTTTGTCAAATGCTGTCTTAAAAGTTGGTAAATACAGACATCAGTGACATGGTTACATGCTGATATGCCTCTGGAGATTCTGGATACGACAGTCCCAGTACCAGTCATGCTGGTTTCTCAGGTTGAGAAGAGAAGTAGAGCTGTTACTAGGGAGATGTACTCTAGTGCCCTGTCATAAGGACAGTTTCTGGACCAATCAAACTCTGTCACATAGACACTTCTTTTTCAAGTCTTTAAATAAACCTTTTTTAAAAAAACCTAACCCATCAGATTTCAGTGTCAAAACTTGGACTTCCAGAACATTTACATCCATTCAACCAATCACCCAGCCAACCAATAGGCCAGACAGCAAGCCAACCAATAGGCCAGCCAGCCAACCAACAAATAGGCCAGCCAGCCAGCCAACAAATAGGCCAGCCAGCCAGCAAACCAATAGGCCAGCCAGCCAACAAATAGGCCGGCCAGCCAGCCAACAAATAGGCCAGCCAGCCAGCCAACAAATAGGCCAGCCAGCCAACAAATAGGCCAGCCAACCAGCCAACAAATAGACCAGCCAGCCAGCAAACCAATAGGCTAGCCAGCCAACAAATAGGCCGGCCAGCCAGCCAACAAATAGTCCAGCCAGCCAGCAAACCAATAGTCCCGGTGGCCATCCAGCCAACCAATCATCAACCAACCACCTAGTCAGCCAGCCAATTAACCTACCAACCAACTAACTAACCAAAAAAAAACAACCAAAACATACATTATTAATAGTAAAGTTACGAGTCTCATCTATTTTCTTCTCCCACTTGCTCAGCTCCTCTGTGTTTACAGCACCACCGTGACCCTTCTGTTCACTGCCGTCTCTGTTTCGGCAGCTTCTCTGATTGGTCACAAGGCCCCAGATTCTGTTCTGCCAGTTCAACACTCCCTTGTAGACTTGACATCCAGAAAAAAAAAGAATAGAGGTTTTAACAATTTATTAATTTGTAAGGGTAGGCGAGTTTTCTCACACAATTTCCTAACACTTAAACAGAGGTAAGTTTTCACAATTATTTAATTCTTAAGGTGAAGTAAGTTTTCACAAGTTATTAACCCTTTTATCCCAGTTACCTAAAAAAAAACACCAAAGCCAGTAACTGGTACTTGGGGAACTTCCTAAAAATTGTTTAAAAAATAAATTTCAACAGGTCAACCAAAAAATTCCTAACAATCCTATTTATGGACAAAACAAAGTAAATTTCTGTACAGAAGAAGAGCAGTAATCAGTAAATATGAATGCGGCAGGGAATTAACTTCATATATTTTTTTTAAAAATGGGTGCTTTATTACTATTCTATCCATAATAGGGGAAATCCACAGGTCACGGGACAGTCTAATATTTCAGGGGGTGGTAAACAGGCTGCATGCAGTCCTGGGACCTAGGCTGCATGCAGTCGTGGGACTTAGGCTGCATTTTCTCGTGGGATGTAGGTGGGTTGGGGCTAGGGCCAGTTCTAGATGTTTTGGGTTTGTTTAAAGAATCAGAAAGAGAGGGAAACCCAGTCTTACCACCCTTTAAAATGCTGGACTGTCCTGTGACATCATCTGGGGTAGAATATTAATAAAGCACCAAGAAATGTATACAGGGGCTCATACCATAACCTGGTTGCCAAGTAACCATCAGTGATAATGGGACTTTCTGATGCCCTACTTTCTAGTTAAAAAGCCATTTGTTCACAAGACATACATCCCTCTTCCCCCCCCCCCCCCCCCACCTTTTTTCCTTTTCTGTCTAGCTATTTTTAGTAAGTGTAGAACACACACACACAGAGCAAGTCACAAGTGTGTAGCTTGTCACACCCACCAAATACTGGTTGTAGAAAATCCTGAATGGAGACATCCATCATACCAACCGAGACAGCAACCGGCGGCCATGACAGGTTTATCTGTCATAGCTGCTCAATGGGTCAAAAGGAGGAAGTTTTTCCCCCAATTTGGTAATTCTCAAGGGGATGGGAGTTTCTATTTGATTTAGATAGGCTAACATTTTGATTATTTTCTTTAAAAAAAAAATATGCAACTTTTCAATATGTGATCAGCTTCTAACTTCTTCATCTTTACATTTACCGGTTGTAAACTCCGGCAGAAAGTTCTGGTTGTTTGTCTACTTTACTTCTGGACTTTAGTCTTGTTCCAGAACCTGAGTTTTGCAAGCAAATCCATTTGACAGATCTGGCTTATTTGAATCTGACTGCTGGTTCCTCACCTCTCAGGCAGATGCACCGACGTCGAAGGAAACGCCCCTAACTACTTAAATTGTATGACATGCTCGTTAGGCAGTAGTGAGTTCCCCTTGGATTCTCACCCAAACAATGGCTCCTTAAGTCACTGGATGTACACATTTCAAACTGCCTTCCTGGAAGAATATCATCAGTGGAATTGATCCAGTCGACCTCTCCGTGTGGGTTCTGGGGCCTTATTATAGGGAAAACAAGAATAAACTTGTTGCCTGCCCCAAAACAAGTCGAAATAGTTGACTAATTGGGAAATTCCTTCGAAGTCAGAGTGCATCTGCCTGAGAGGAAAGGAACCAGCAGTCTGCATACAAAGGACTCAGATCTGTAAAACGGATGCACATGCAACACTCAGGTTCTGGAACAGGACTGAAGTCCAGAAGTGGATGAACAACCAGAACTTTCTGCCAGAGTTTACAGCTGGTAAACGCGAAGAAGAAGAAGATCCAGTAGACCAAACATCTGTGGAGATGCATGAATGCCTATGCCAGCTGGCAAGGCACTTGATGATGATGATGATGACAATGATGATTTCTGGAGGGGAACAAATGAAAAAAAAGACATTTTGCAAATTTACCGATATGTGACCAGTTCCTGTCAGACTGAGGGGAGACATTTGAGAGCATACACAGACGGGTCGAGTCGACTCCAAACTCCTCTAGCACATCCTGAAATCCAGCAAATGCACACACACACAAAAAATGTAAATATCAAGATAAAGACAGAGAGGACTTGATACAGTGACAAATTATCCTCACAGCATCTAGTTTTTAAACAGACATGGGCTTCCAGGGTTCCAAACCTTGACTCAAAGGTTAAAGGTTAAAAAAAAAGGTTGAAGGTTAAAGTCGAAAGGATCGACTTCACTGTATCAGGTTTTATTCCATATTGTTCAGCCTCTCTATGCGGAACGGCTAGCCGCCTGCCAAGAGCATCGCATATAGCATAAACTCTGTAGCTCCAGCAACGATCCCCAGGGATGTCTGTAAAATCTGCACTCATTACCTGAGCGGCACAGCGGTGAAACGAACCCATGACCTTCAGAGCACGAGGTCAACAACTGACCACTTCGCCTGACCACCAGTATGACCCAAGATTTTGTGGGAAGACAACATCAGATAGTCCCTGACTGATAGAGGACTGGAATGGAACAAACCCAGAAAGCAAACTGCTGATAGGGAAGTCCGGCAATCTCTCTGGCAAACCTCTACACCCCAGTGTAGAACAGGATCGACTAAGTATGATGAACTGCACAGTATAGAAAAGAGTTATTCACTGCCATGTAAAAGTTAGTCCCATAGCAGACGCAGCTACAGATGTCACAGGACCAGTAATTATTCTACAGATGACACAGGACCAGTAATTATTCTGCTGAAATCAGGTGGCTGGACACACAGACTTCCAACCATGCATGCTTTCTCAGTGACCCAAACAGTGCCGAAGAACAGATAGATCATTACAGTCTGAGGAGAATGGCACTGCAAGGAGTTACAAGGGGATCTGGCCGACGCTCTACACTGAGGGGAAAGGTGAGATGGATATACAGTCAGACAGTTACTGGTACAACATTTTAACTCTTCGGTTGCTGTTGAAGATGGGGACGGAGCCCTTATGGGGGTGTCCTGAGAGCTGTGATGTCAATTCTCAATTCAACATTTAATATTCAGTGACCCAATGAGTATGTTCAGAAGGAAGGAGATGGGCTAAGCCTCAAGACAGTGGTTGGGTCTCTGAGGCGGTCACGGCAACAAAGATCAGTTTAAATTTCAAGCTAGGGGACACAGGCAGGCAAGGAAATGAGCGAGTTGATAGGCCTGCAGGCAAATCTACTGTGAACCGACGGACAAGCCATGGACCAGGCTGATTTACTGAATCCTCTGTAAGAAGTGAGATGTTTGCGAGAACCAAATGACTGTGAATCTGTAATCATGACCAGAAGGCAAGAACAGCAACAGCACTATGCAGGAAGCCAAAGAAGAATAAAAAATCAACACAGAACTGGTGTCATCAGACACTATATGAGAGACAATTTGCTGAGGAGGGGATCCAAGCACTTATGGATTAAATGATTTGATGTGCAATGAGGATACAATGAAAACCACTGGCAGAGAGAACAAAAATAACAAGCCTCGGCCACACCCACCTCTGGATAACAAGCCATAGCCATACCTGCCTCTGAATGACAAGCCACGCCCAGGCCACACCCACCTTTGGATAACAAGTCACGTCCAGGCCACACCCACCTCTGAATAACAAGCTATAGCCACACCTACCACTGGATAACAAGCCACATCCAGGCCACACCTACCTCTGGATAACAAGCTGAGGCTACACATACCTCTGGATAACAAGCCACGGACACACTTACCTCCAGATAACAAGCCACACCCACCTCTGGATAACAAGCCACACCCACCTCTGGATAACAAGCCACACCCACCTCTGGATAGCAAACCACAGCCACACCTACCTCTGGATAACAAGCCACAGCCACACCTACCTCTGGATAACAAGCCACAGCCACACCTACCTCTAGATAACAAGCCACACCCACCTCTGGATAACAAGCCACAGCCACACCTACCTCTAGATAACAAGCCACAGCCACACCTACCTCTAGATAACAAGCCACACCTACCTCTAGATAACAAGCCACAGCCACACCTACCTCTAGATAACAAGCCACAGCCACACCTACCTCTAGATAACAAGCCACAGCCACACCTACCTCTAGATAACAAGCCACAGCCACACCTACCTCTGGATAACAAGCCACAGCCACACCTACCTCTAGATAACAAGCCACAGCCACCTCTAGATAACAAGCCACAGCCACACCTACTTCTAGATAACAAGCCACAGCCACACCCACCTCTAGATAACAAGCCACAGCCACACCTACCTCTGGATAACAAGCCACAGCCACACCTACCTCTGGATAACAAGCCACAGCCACACCTACCTCTGGATAACAAGCCACAGCCACACCTACCTCTGGATAACAAGCCACAGCCACACCTACCTCTGGATAACAAGCCACAGCCACACCTACCTCTGGATAACAAGCCACAGCCACACCTACCTCTGGATAACAAGCCACAGCCACACCTACCTCTAGATAACAAGCCACAGCCACACCTACCTCTGGATAACAAGCCACAGCCACACCTACCTCTAGATAACAAGCCACAGCCACACCTACCTCTGGATAACAAGCCACAGCCACACCCACCTCTAGATAACAAGCCACAGCCACACCTACCTCTGGATAACAAGCCACAGCCACACCTACCTCTAGATAACAAGCCACAGCCACACCTACCTCTAGATAACAAGCCACAGCCACACCTACCTCTAGATAACAAGCCACAGCCACACCTACCTCTAGATAACAAGCCACAGCCACACCTACCTCTAGATAACAAGCCACAGTCACACCTACCTCTGGATAACAAGCCACAGCCACACCTACCTCTAGATAACAAGCCACAGCCACACCCACCTCTAGATAACAAGCCACAGCCACACCTACCTCTAGATAACAAGCCACAGCCACACCCACCTCTAGATAACAAGCCACAGCCACACCTACCTCTGGATAACAAGCCACAGCCACACCTACCTCTGGATAACAAGCCACAGCCACACCTACCTCTAGATAACAAGCCACAGCCACACCTACCTCTGGATAACAAGCCACAGCCACACCCACCTCTAGATAACAAGCCACAGCCACACCTACCTCTAGATAACAAGCCACACCCACACCTACCTCTGGATTGACTCCATTATATTTGCTCTTGCTCATCTTCTCCCACTCAACAGTCAGCTCAGCTCCTGTTTCTGTCTCTATGGCAACAGCACCTGCAACAACCTTGAGTCCAATCAAATCTGGCAGGGCAGAATTATAGACGCACTAGGTACCAAACTTTATCATCAAATCTGGCAGGGCAGAATTATAGACGCACTCCAAACTTTATCATCAAATCTGGCAGGGCAGAATTATAGACGCACTAGGTACCAAACTTTATCATCAAATCTGGCAGGGCAGAATTATAGACGCACTAGGTACCAAACTTTATCATCAAATCTGGCAGGGCAGAATTATAGACGCACTAGGTACCAAACTTTATCATCAAATCTGGCAGGGCAGAATTATAGACGCACTAGGTACCAAACTTTATCATCAAATCTGGCAGGGCAGGGCACTAGGTACCAAACTTTATCATCAAATCTGGCAGGGCAGAATTATAGACGCACTAGGTACCAAACTTTATCATCAAATCTGGCAGGGCAGAATTATAGACGCACTAGGTACCAAACTTTATCATCATCAATCTGGCAGGGCAGAATTATAGACGCACTAGGTACCAAACTTTATCATCAAATCTGGCAGGGCAGAATTATAGACGCACTAGGTACCAAACTTTATCATCAAATCTGGCAGGGCAGAATTATAGACGCACTAGGTACCAAACTTTATCATCAAATCTGGCAGGGCAGAATTATAGACGCACTAGGTACCAAACTTTATATCATCAAATCTGGCAGGGCAGAATTATAGACGCACTAGTTACCAAACTTTATCATCAAATCTGGCAGGGCAGAATTATAGACGCACTAGGTACCAAACTTTATCATCAAATCTGGCAGGGCAGAATTATAGACGCACTAGGTACCAAACTTTATCATCAAATCTGGCAGGGCAGAATTATAGACGCACTAGGTACCAAACTTTATCATCAAATCTGGCAGGGCAGAATTATAGACGCACTAGGTACCAAACTTTATCATCAAATCTGGCAGGGCAGAATTATAGACGCACTAGGTACCAAACTTTATCATCAAATCTGGCAGGGCAGAATTATAGACGCACTAGGTACCAAACTTTATCATCAAATCTGGCAGGGCAGAATTATAGACGCACTAGGTACCAAACTTTATCATCAAATCTGGCAGGGCAGGGCAGGGCAGAATTACGCACTAGGTACAAAACTTTATCATCAAATCTGGCAGGGCAGAATTATAGACGCACTAGGTACCAAACTTTATCATCAAATCTGGCAGGGCAGAATTATAGACGCACTAGGTACCAAACTTTATCATCAAATCTGGCAGGGCAGAATTATAGACGCACTAGGTACCAAACTTTATCATCAAATCTGGCAGGGCAGAATTATAGACGCACTAGGTACCAAACTTTATCATCAAATCTGGCAGGGCAGAATTATAGACGCACTAGGTACCAAACTTTATCATCAAATCTGGCAGGGCAGAATTATAGACGCACTAGGTACCAAACTTTATCATCAAATCTGGCAGGGCAGAATTATAGACGCACTAGGTACCAAACTTTATCATCAAATCTGGCAGGGCAGAATTATAGACGCACTAGGTACCAAACTTTATCATCAAATCTGGCAGGGCAGAATTATAGACGCACTAGGTACCAAACTTTATCATCAAATCTGGCAGGGCAGAATTATAGACGCACTAGGTACCAAACTTTATCATCAAATCTGGCAGGGCAGAATTATAGACGCACTAGGTACCAAACTTTATCATCAAATCTGGCAGGGCAGAATTATAGACGCACTAGGTACCAAACTTTATCATCAAATCTGGCAGGGCAGAATTATAGACGCACTAGGTACCAAACTTTATCATCAAATCTGGCAGGGCAGAATTATAGACGCACTAGGTACCAAACTTTATCATCAAATCTGGCAGGGCAGAATTATAGACGCACTAGGTACCAAACTTTATCATCAAATCTGGCAGGGCAGAATTATAGACGCACTAGGTACCAACTTTATCATCAAATCTGGCAGGGCAGAATTATAGACGCACTAGGTACCAAACTTTATCATCAAATCTGGCAGGGCAGAGAATTATAGACGCACTAGGTACCAAAACTTTATCATCAAATCTGGCAGGGCAGAATTATAGACGCACTAGGTACCAAACTTTATCATCAAATCTGGGAGGGCAGAATTATAGACGCACTAGGTACCAAACTTTATCATCAAATCTGGCAGGGCAGAATTATAGACGCACTAGGTACCACTAGGTACCAAACTTTATCATCAAATCTGGCAGGGCAGAATTATAGACGCACTAGGTACCAAACTTTATCATCAAATCTGGCAGGGCAGAATTATAGACGCACTAGGTACCAAACTTTATCATCAAATCTGGCAGGGCAGAATTATAGACGCACTAGGTACCAAACTTCATCATCAAATCTTTATAGACGCACTAGGTACCAAACTTTATCATCAAATCTGGCAGGGCAGAATTATAGACGCACTAGGTACCAAACTTCATCATCAAATCAGTACTGAGATCCCCTAAAATAATTAACAATAAACTAAAAACTGTCTTCTTCTTCACCTCTGCATTCATCAAAAGTGATGAAGATCATTCTTTCTTTCATCTATCATGAAACTATAGTTGTCTGGACTCTACACTTGTTCCTGTTCCTTCTTTTTTGTTCACCAGCTGTAAGCTATGGCAGAATGTTTCAGTTGTTCCTCCACTTCTGGATTCTGGTCCTGTTTCTCCTCCTCCTTCTTTGTTCACCGGCTCAAAGCTTTGGTGAAAAGTCATGGTTGCTTGTCTATTTGGAGTGTGGCTTTGTATCAGGCCGTGAGTTTTGTATGAACACCTGTTTTACTCGCTTATTTGTGTGCAGCTGGTCATTCCTTGCTGGTCGTTCCTTGCTGGTCGTTCCTTGCTGGTCGTTCCTTGCTGGTCGCTCCTTGCTGGTCCTTCCTTGCTGGTCGTTCCTTGCCGCTCGGGCAGATGCGCACTGATTTCAAAGGAAGCCCCCAATAAGCCGTCTCTTGACCTTTACTTACTTTACATTACTACACATGAATTGTACATTTTCCGAAATCTTGAATGTTCTTTAAGTAAGATGTCATTATTTTTCAACGTAGTCACCATCACATTCTACACACACCCACGCACGCACACATGCGCGCCAGCATCAAACAAGTTGTCGCATCCCATTGAAAGACAAAAATTGGGACAACTTTTCACGAAACCAGAAATGCACATTAGCTGCTATATCCCCACCAGAAGGATTCGTGTTTTCCCTTGAGAAGTTCCTTGAGCTTTGGGGAAAGAGGAGAAGTCACAAGGTACCAAATCGGGACTATACACTGGATGCCTACAGAAATAACATTGTTACAAATAATATCATCATCAATCGCTCTCTTTATAGCACGCCTGAAGGTATCCCTCTCCCTAGCCAGCTATCCGGCCCCATGTGCTTTCAATACCAATGCATCTTCAATGTACTGTATCCATCTTTGCGGTGGTCGACCCCTGCCTCGCCTTTTACAAGTTGCACCTTCCATCACCATCTTTTCCAAGCCACCATGACACTTGATGTGGCCAAAATACTTCAACTTTCGGGACAGGATGCTGTTTATAAGCCAGTTTTCCTTGATGTTCAACTCGTTTAGAAGTCGATGTTTTTCCTCTTCTTGATATTCTAAAAAATTGTCTATAACATTTTAATTCAAAAGCCCCAATCTTTTTCCTCAGTGACTGAGTGAGAGCCCAAGACTCACAACCGTAGGTTGCCACAGGAAAAATGCATGATCTTAAGATTTTACTTTAATTAATGTACACGTGCTTTGCCATAAGTTCTTCATGCTATTTAATCTATGCATTGCTAATGCAAGTTGTCGCGCGCCCACGTGGGTAAATACACTGATATAGTGAGGGTGTGGGTTTGAACCTTAACAATGCCCACCCACGTGAGAAACTGGACTATTATCTAAGCTATGTTGATCCTAGACAGTCCTGGATAGCCAAGAAAACAGCGTGTGGCTCGTTCCATGAAATGAAAGTTGCTGTACTTGTATCCACAGGAGTAGGAGAAGGGATAGATAGATATCTGGATACACCCACTGTGATATAATCCAGGTGCTCATTTAACCCCTCCGACTGCTCTCCTCTCCTGGCAATACTTAAAAGCCCCCATCAAGTGATTTAAATATTTGTTAGCTGAAGTAAACTAATATGCACCAAGACACTTGAACCTAAGTACACAATTTACTCAACTATTTTGTAACAACATCAAACATTATTTATTTGAATAAATCGAAATAAAATGAACTTGTTTAGGCTAGTAGAGTTGGGATGATGTTATAGATGACATTAAAGTTGTACATAACTTAGCTCGTCAGGACAGTTCTCGGCTTGAGACCCTGTCTATTCTTTCCCAGTTTGTCGTCCTCACTGCTTTCTGCAGGTCGTTACACTCGACGGTCGGCAAATAATGGATGCCTACTAGTCCCTGCCCAATGTGGGAACTGGAAAATGAAACCACGATGCCAAAAGTTCTGTCTCAAGCTTAGGTTAAGCCCAACAGATGGCATGTGCTGGACAGGATCTCATTTACCAGACCTAGAGTTCACCCCTTTATAACTTTTATCAAGCTCCTCCTACATTACGCCTAAAATCATTCTCATTCAAGGATGTCACAGCTCCTCCCCTGTGGGTAAGTTTATTCGCTGTCAGTTAGGGCTGTACAACACTTGTTTAAATTCCCACGGTCACATTCTACAGGTTCAATTAAGCTGGTCAACGCTAATAGGCCAAGTCACACCTCCAGCCTACTTCACCTGTCATCACAATAAAATCAGACTGTCAATTCTTCTGCCAACACTTTCAGCTCACTGTGTCAATATTGACGATCTGACCGGCACTCCAGTTTAGGTAACCTCAGGGGGAGATAATGGCAATTAGCCCTTGTTATCTGTTCCTGAAGGTCTGGCTAGGAGATAAATATCTGACACCAACAAATGGTGTGCAAATCTCCAGTCAGTAAGTCTGCTTGGTCAGTCTTATCTCTTTACCTTAACACTTAACATCTGGGGAAAAGTTTTAGTGTTTGATTTGACCAACGGTCCAGGAGAATTAAAGGTTTGATGTGGTCATCTTACTTAGATTAAGGATGTATCCAAATCCCTATTTTCCTGTATACTTTCAAAATACAAAGAAATAAAAGTAGGTTGAGGAAAGACATTCTGGAGTCACCGAGCGTATTGTCACACAAGTCTTCTTCTGACTTTTTCGAGCAGTCACCACTGTTATTTACTAAAGAGTACAAGTATTCTAAATAATATTAAACACCAAAAACATCAATTAAAAGCACACTGTAAACCTCCATTATACAGGACAAACAGGATTCAATTCAAAGACAAATCACTGCTACTGCTGATACAAATATTCCCATTGAAACATACAGCCCCTTACTCACCGGATGTATCAGCCTTGTCCCTGGGTAAGTATTTACCAGTGTCCTTGACCTTAAAGCTCTCACCCTTGACCATGCCCTGGGTCAAGAGGTTTTTGAATGGTTCCCTGGAGTTTAGCATGCCCACAGAGTGAAGGAAGTGGCACATAAACCGGGCGTAGTAGAGATGAAGCACAGCTGTGGACAATGTAGCGGAACCATAAGCCTTGAGCAAAAATGTATTGCATAATTTAATAAAAATGTACACTCCAGTTTCTTTTAATTCTAAACACCAGTGCAAGCCAAACTTTATGGGTCGCTGAGTGAATTACAAAAGACAGTGAAGTTCATGCTAGAAACAAAATTGCAGATATAGACAATCTATTTCAAGCGAACGAAAGAAGATTTAATTCTTCTTGGAATGACATATAATTACTTTAACGATGGTTTGAACATGTCTGCAGAATGAGAGAGAATCGACCAGTTTGGCAGGCATGAAAGGCCAAGAACCAGAGAACCAGACCACCAGCATGACCCAGGATTTTGTGGGAAGACAACATCAGATAGTCCCTGACTGACAGAGGACTGGAATGGAACAAACCCATGGCCTTCAGAGCACGAGGTCAACAACTGACCACTTCGCCTGACCACCAGTATGACCCAGGATTTTGTGGGAAGACAACATCAGATAGTCCCTGACTGACAGAGGACTGGAATGGAACAAACCCAGAAAGCAAACTGCTGATAGGGAAGTCCGGCAATCTCTCTGGCAAACCTCTACACCCCAATATAGAACAGGATCGACTAAGTATGATGAACTGCACAGTATAGAAAAGAGTTATTCACTGCCATGTAAAAGTTAGTCCCATAGCAGACGCAGCCACTGATGTCTGAAGTGTTAAGTTATAACATATACCAGGTCAGTATTCTTCACTCCTTCAAGTTCCACAGACCAGCTAAACCAGGGGGAATTCTTTCGCGGACCACCTGATGGCAATCAGAAAACAAGAACAAATGTATATATCAGTTTTTTTGTTAAATATGACGCCAGAAAATTACAATTTTCAATAAATCTCACTCACTGTACAGCAAATGTGGTGCCTGACTTATGTAAAGGCTAAATAATTAAGTACACATTTTTGCTGACCCATTCACACATTCCAGCAGCGCAATAGAGGGCCGTGGACCAATTGTTGAAAAACTCTAAGGCCGCCACAGCACACGAGGTGGGAGGGCCAATTCCTTTCTTTGTTCAATTTCATTTACAGACAAAGCCAAGACAGAGAAAAAGTGAAAACACAGAGATAAATGGTAAAAGAATCAAGATAAATGAAGCCAGATAAGAGAGTGATGAAAGAACAGAGAAATGGCAAATGAACAGTGACAGATGGTGAAAGAATAGAGATAGAGAAAGGGTTAAAACACAGAGATAAATGGTGAAAGAATAGAGATAAATGAAGCCAAATAAGAGAGAAATAATGAAAGAACAGAGAAATGGTAAACGAATAGAGACAGATATTGAATGAATAGACAAAGAGAAATGGCGAGAGCACAGAAAGAGAGGTTTACAGGCACGTGCAAACCCTACTGACCATGCTCTTTCCCTCCAACATACAAATCCACAGGCATATACTTGTTGGCCACCTCAGGGTCGAAGGGCATCCTGTCATTGAAGGGGTCAAGGTAGCGGAGGAAGTACCAGGTGGAATCAACGAAGGTGTCCATTGTGTCAGTTTCTCTGCGAGCCGCTGATCCACACCTGAAAATGTGAACAAGTCTGTTTACGAAGGATGTCAGGGATGGATACGAATATTAAGCAATATTTAACAAGAATACAAACAAGAATGTAAATAATATCTTCTTCTTTTCGTTCATCCAAGTGTCGTAACTGTGTTGTGCCTGTGGGAGTCGACATGAATGGGAGTCGTCGTGGTGTAGCGGCTAGATGCTCCCGTGCGGATCAGAATGTCATGGGTTCGCTCCCTGGCAGAGCCGGACTTTGTTTAACAATGACCTTGACTCCCAGGTCGACCCAGCCTTGAGTGGGTACCAGGTGCAGTCTCGGGAAGTAAAGGGGGCCAGCGTGATGCTGGCCACATCACCCATCTTGCGCTCATAAGTCTATAAAAATATAGGTCCAGCCCTATATGCCCTATACATCTAAAGGCGGAGAAAAGAGACCTTTACTCTTTTTTTTTTTATTGTTTACATGAATAATAGTATGAACACTATAAAAAATGATGAAAAAGAAATTTAACAAAAAATATAAACATAATATGAACAACATCAAGAATATGAACATGAACTAGAACAACAAGAAAGATAAACAGTAATAGGAACAATGTACAAAATATTTACAATATTTAAAAATGAACCAAAATAAGAACAACATAAAGAAATACAAGAATTAGAACAATAATAATATGTACACAAATTAGAACAACATACAGAATATGAGGAAAAATTATATAAAACATATATTTTGATGTACAGGTCAAGTTTTAAGCCTAAAACCATCTTTCCACAAACAGGGATTGACTTATGTGGCGGGTACAAATACGTCTTACTCAGAATTTATGTTATGCTAATCATTTTGAGGTTGCTTATCACCAGGTTGACTTACCAGGTTGACTCGCATGCCGGGATATACTGTAATTTTTATTTTTTCTTCTTCTTAACATTCACCAGCTGTAAACCAACCGAAGAAAATTCTGGCTGTTCGTCTTTTTCTGAACTATAGTTTATTGTGTGTTCTAGAACTTGAGTTTTGCGTGCACATTCATTTTGCAGATCTAGCTTTTGTTGTATGCAGACTGCTGGTTCCTTGCCTCTCAGACAGTTGCACTCCGATTTCAAAGGAAACTCCCCTAATTCGTCGTGTTGAATGACATGCTTCTTAGGGAGGCAGCAGGTCTGTTCTTAGCACAGTGTGTCAACATTCATTTTACAGATGTGCCTTATTTGTATGCAGACTGTTGGTGCCTTGCCTCTCAGACAGATGCACTCTGACTTTGAAGGAAACTCCTCTGATTTATCACCTTGCCTGACATGCTTGTTAGGGAGGCAGTCAGTCTGTCCACCCCTCCCCCCCCCCCCCCCCCCACACAACCCCAATGGGTTTGGAGCCCACAAGAAGAGGTAATCTAATATGTAAACCACGACCTACTTTGGACAGGAAACGTTGACCCAGTGTTCAATATCAGCCAGCGGTGAGCGACCTCCTTTGCTGCTCAGGCCTTGTATGTCTGGGAGCTCCACGGGCAGGTCCTCAAGGGGCACAGGGACAGTCTATGTTGATGATTAGACAGACATCTAATTATCCAGGAACACAGTGCTCACATAAGATCACTGCCATTACGATAAAGTCACCTGAATGCAACATTGGTGATTTTCATACCTAAGTCAGCAGCAGGCCTTGCGCCTTCTGATGGTTTCGTCAGTGGTATCGTGAAGCCGACCATCCAGAAATCAATGGCAAACTACTGGACGTAAATTTGCCTAGAAAAACCACAACAGTCAAAAAATGCTGGGGTTGGTTCTGCAATGTCCTGTAAAGGATACGCAACTAACTTTAACGTACCAAGTGTATTCTCAGTCAGAACCAGCAATGAAATTCATAATCTGTTTAAATCACCTTGATCACTGGCATTATGAGAGCTAATAGACTGAAATAGCTGGGGCATATTGAGAGAGAGTCAGATGACAGAGAGGTAAAAACTGTATACGCAAAGGAGCTGAATGGCCACAGACCACGAGGCAGACCAAGAAGTTGAAGAGATAATATCCAGACAGGTCTACAGACACTTGGTGTCACCAAATGGAAAGAGAGGGCCAACCAGAGAGATGATTAGAGGCGGGTGATATCTGCAGCAATGAACCTCAAGGGCTCGGAATGCAGAAGAAGAGGAAGTATATTTTGACAGCTGTTTATTGTTGCCAAGATCCTTGTAGGGGTGGAGACAGTAGGTATGCCACTGCCAGCTAAACACAATCTATGTGACTGTTTTGGCGTGCAACACAAACCACAGAAGGCATGTGAACTACGAGAGGTAATGGAAACCAGCTCAGGTTATGAGCCGGCTGAAGGTGGTCATTGAAAGGTTTCCTTTCCACCACACTAACGACAGCAGTAAACACTTGTGATTCAGGCAGGTGAGTTCACAACTGATGAGAGAGGGGCCAAAAGAGCTGGTCTAGGTTCCATACATGATATTAAAGAGACTGTAGACAACGGAACAGACTGAAAGCCCTATGTGATACATAATGGCACAACAGGACAATGATGATGATTATGATGATGAATGGCCACTATTCCAGGTATACAAAAACATGCTGAAAGATCTCACAAAGTGCCTTGAGACCTGGTACAATACAGCACATAGACGGATGTCGAGGAAATATTAAACAAATGTATTATCAACTTACCCCACATTTTTTGCAGTGAATTATGGGAATCGGGGTCCCCCAGTATCGCTGCCGAGATATCAACCAGTCATTTAAGTTTTCGCTGATCTTCTCTCCACCTATACCACGAGCCTAGAATAACAGATTATATTATCGTGAATATACAATGTAAAATTTAGAACAACACATAATGAGATAGAGATGGTTGAGGGGTGGGCAAACAACAAAAACTTTTTACTGTAGTTTACAGCTGGTGAATACAACTGAGGGGGAAAATACTGAACAAGAAGAACAAGGCAACCGCATCTTCTTCTTGTTCTCATGTTCACTGGATGTAAACTCTTTTGGAAAGTTCTCATTGGTCGTCGACTTCTGGACTTTAGTCCTGTTCCAGAAACTGAGTGATGCACATCCATTTCATAAGTATGACGCATTTGCATGCAGACTGTTGGCTCCTTGCCTCTCAGACAGATGTACTCTAACTTTGAAGGAAGCTCCCAGTTAGTTGACTCTTATGACATGCTTTTGAGCAGGCAGTATGTCTATTCTTGTTTTCCCCACAGTGGGGTGGATATGGACAACTCATGTTTTCTACAACACTGCCCAGGCTTTGTGCTACGGAGAAGAAGCAAGTCTTGATAGTCCCACTTGCTATTGCCAGAACTGGTGATTCCCAAGTCTCTTATTTGCAAAATATAACACCACTGCCTGGAAAGACAGAAAGGTGCCAATCAATATACAGAAAACCAGGACATGTTCGGTAAAGTACAGGCGGCAACATCCGACTGAAATCATCATTTATCTATCGCCAGTTGATCTACACTACATTACTCTTGCTAATTAAAGGTGGCAACATCTGACTGAAATCATCATTTACCTATCACCAGCTGATCTACACCACATTACTCTTGCTAATTAAAGGTGGCAACATCCGACTGAAATCATCATTTACCTATCACCAGCTGATCTACACCACATTACTCTTGCTAATTAAAGGTGGCAACATCTGACTGAAATCATCATTTATCTATCACCAGTTGATCTACACCACATTACTCTTGCTAATTAAAGGTGGCAACATCCGACTGAAATCATCATTTACCTATCGCCAGTTGATCTACACCACATTACTCTTGCTAATTAAAGGTGGCAACATCTGACTGAAATCATCATTTACCTATCACCAGCTGATCTACACCACATACTCTTGCTAATAAAGGTGGCAACATCTGACTGAAATCATCATTTACCTATCACCAGCTGATCTACACCACATTACTCTTGCTAATTAAAGGTGGAAACATCTGACTGAAATCATTGTTTATCTATCGCCAGTTGATCTATACCACATTACTCTTGCTAATTAAAGGTGGCAACATCTGACTGAATCATCATTTACCTATCGCCAGTTGATCTACACCACATTACTCTTCTAATTAAAGGTGGCAACATCTGACTGAAATCATCATTTATCTATCGCCAGTTGATCTACACCACATTACTCTTGCTAATTAAAGGCGGCAACATCTGACTGAAATCATCATTTATCTATCGCCAGTTGATCTACACCACATTACTCTTCTAATTAAAGGTGGCAACATCTGACTGAAATCATAATTTACCTATCACCAGCTGATCTACACCACATTACTCTTCTAATTAAAGGTGGCAACATCTGACTGAAATCATCATTTATCTATCGCCAGTTGATCTACACCACATTACTCTTGCTAATTAAAGGTGGCAACATCTGACTGAATCATCATTTACCTATCGCCAGTTGATCTACACCACATTACTCTTCTAATTAAAGGTGGCAACATCTGACTGAAATCATCATTTATCTATCGCCAGTTGATCTACACCACATTACTCTTCTAATTAAAGGTGGCAACATCTGACTGAAATCATCATTTATCTATCGCCAGTTGATCTACACCACATTACTCTTCTAATTAAAGGTGGCAACATCTGACTGAAATCATCATTTATCTATCGCCAGTTGATCTACACCACATTACTCCGAATATCAAATATACTTCAAAGCACAAAATCAAGTCCTTAATTAATAACAAAATATAACATTCTATATCCCTTGACTCATTAGGGTAGGGGTGGTGTATCGATTGAAGCGCTAGCGCATAAAACATGCCATCTTTGTCTGCCTTCCACTTGAAGAATAAGTGTATGATAACTTAGTCCTGTTCATTTCTTGATGTTGTCACTCCAGTTTCTTTTTTTTTTCTTTTTTTCGCCCTCCTCTTCTTCAAATACCCACCAATATCCTTGAAATATATAAAGACTTTGCAAATGAACCATGTCTCACCACGTGCCCAAACCAAGCTAGCTTGCAACGTTTCACCACTGCCAAGAGAGGCTCCTGATGTCCTGCAAATTTGCATATTCTGTCTCTGATATATATGTTAGTTTTGTGTTCTAAATAACTAATTAATAAAATTATGAATACATAATACTCTCTCTCTTTCTCTGTCTCCTGTTTCATACTCACTCACACAGACATTCATAGAGTGACTGACAGATTAATACAGACAGTAAGAGTGACGGGAACTGAGAAAGTCAAAAGCTGACAAAGACAAAATAAGAGAGACAGAAAAACTGGCAAAGAAAGAAAGACAGAGATGGAGAGACTGACAGACGGAAGACAAGAGACAAACAAAACAGTTATGTGTATATTATTCACAGTCTGCGTCTGTGACTTAGGTCTTGAATACATTCAGAAAGCAATGGCAAACTACATATCATAAAATTGCCTAGAAAAATCACAAATAGCCAATAAAAGCTTTTGTCCCGCAACATCCGGCTAAGGAGATGAAACCAGCTTTAACTATTTACAGTAAATTCAATTCTGTGACATCTAGAGACTGAACCTCAGCCCAATGTGCCAGACCCAATCTGACTAACCCACCATTTTATCGCAGCTCCTAATTTATGACCTACCTGAGCTAGTTTCCGAACGCACTCCAATGCTTCTCGTCGACTTAGCCCATTAAGCTGAAACAACAGAGGGTTATTCATAGGAATAAATAATGGACATCAAGGGCTATATCATGAAACAAAATAAGTAAGAAGGTGTTTGAAAATAAAACCAGGGAGACATACAGCCAAGTTAAAAAAAATTTAATTAATTTAGGTTAAACAAAATAAAAAAAACTGAAATAACAGGGAAAAATAACCCAAAAAAAATAACAATTTTTTGTTATAATGAATATCATCACAGGTTTAGATGAGCAGTATCCAGATGTTTGGATAGATTGGCGGAGTCATATGGAGTGGCCTCCCAGATCCCAAAATCTCATCCCACTTGATTTTTATCCTTGGGATCATCTGAAGGTTACAGCGTATCAGAAAAAGCTACAAATCATAGATCCTCTCAAGGAACGCAACAAAAATGCCCTTACGAGCACAATTCCAGCTTGTTTACATGTGGTCTTCAACAGTGAAGGACACACATCGAAACATGTTTTCAAAATAATGGTGGTCACGTACAGTAGAGCATATTATATAAATAAAAATGGTTTTCATAAAACAAATGTTTATTTTTCTATGTACAGAAACTTATGGGAAAGCTTGCATATAATCATCTTCAGTAGGTGCATTTGTATTTTTCTGTATTCCCCTCTGGAACTGCAATCTAAAGGTGTGTCACCCAGTGACTCAAGGAGCCTCTTTCTGGATGGCAATCCAACAGGAACAAATCTTACATACCCAGCTCACCCATATAAAACAGTCAACTCGGACAGAATTTTGAGGGAAAGAAGAACAGATTTACTGCCTCTTAAAAAGAAGTGCAAAATACAAAACAAAATGTGACTAGAAAGCTCCAAGTAGGAAGTGGAAAAGACATGCCCAAATACAACCAAAGTTTCAACCAAAGTCTTTATCAATGGAGTGATAAATGCAGCAGAAACTGTGACTGGGAAACTCAATGGATAAGACAACAGAGCTTGCAAACAATCAAGGTCAACAGGAAATCAACAAACATGTAATAAGAAAAAAATATCGACATGAAGAGCTACATTATGAACAAAATAAGTAAGAATATATTTGAAAAAAAAAAAAAAAAAAAAAAGGAGAAATACAACCAAGTTAAATAAATTAACTATTTTAGGTTTTATAAAATGAAATAAATTACACAGAAATAAAGTAAAGAACCCTTTCCCACACCTTAAGGCATATAGGGCTAGACCATTATTTTTATAGACCAATCGGCACAAGATGGGTGATGTGGTCAGCATCGCGCCGGCCGCCTTTACTTCCCGGGACTGCACCCGGCACATTCTCAAGGCTGGGTCGACCTGGGAGCCAAGGTCAAATTTTTTTTTTTTATCTGGCTCCGCCAGAGAGCAAACCCACCATCTTCCGATCCATGGTAAGCGTCTAGATGAAAAAAAATAATTAATAAAATGAAGAAGAAGAAAAAGGAGGAGAAGGAGGGGCTGTTTCAGCGTTCCCTACATCTTCCACCTGCTGTTAACAGGGTACATAAATACTCCAATTTTTTCCTATATAACATTCACCAGCTGTAAACTCCAGTAGGAAGTTCTGGTTGTTTGTCCACTTCTGGATTTTGGCCTTAGTCCAGTAACTGAGTTCTGAGTGCGGGTCCCTTGTACAGATCTGGTTTATTTTTATGCTCAGTGTTGGTTCCTTGACTCTCAGGCAGACGCACTCAGACTTCAAAGAAAGCACCTTTAATTAGTCATCGTTTATTCCCCCCCCCCCCCCCCCCCAGAACGAAGCCCGGGAACCTCCTCAGGGTCCATACCATTCTCAACATATTCAGCAAGCAAAGCAATGTGATATTTTGTTTTGGCTTTACCTGCTCGGAAGCCTGCAAGAGATCAGAATCTGGCGTGTCCAGTACTTTGCGGACGGGAATTCCAAGTCTCTCAGCGACCGTCAGATCTTCCTTTGAGATGCATGGAATGGCTGCGGATGGTAATGAAGACCATGATTCCCATAGAAAATTAGTTTTTTTTTTTCCAGGTCAGGCATCAAATGAAAACCATTCAGAAAGAACATGAGGAATCTATACAAGCAGATCAGTTGTATGAAGACACAAAAGTGCATGAGCATTCACAGCTCACTCTGCAGGTAGAACAGTCATGGATGGAGTCACTGCGGAGCTCCACTGTTCTTAGAGTTACCTTCATCTCTGCCACAAGAAATCTTGGTGTTGTTGGCAATGAAAGAACTGATAGACAGGCTGGTTCTGTCTTAGTAGAGTAGCAGATGGCCAGCCTGCCTATGGATTGCACTGACACTGTTAATGCATTTAGAGGGGGAAAGAGAGAGAGAGAGAGAGAGAGAGAGAGAGAGAGAGAGAGAGAGAGAGAGAGAGAGAGAGAGAGGAGAGAGAGAGAGAACAGGATTTTGCGATCAGCATGTCCATATCACTGCCAAGTATGCGAGAATTATGAGTCAAGACTGGAGTACAGCCAGGCATGAAAATAACACAGGACACACAAGAAGTTTTGTCAACCAGCTGACACTATTAACCACTGATGTATATGTTGAAAGCAGAAATCAGAGCACCCATGGATGTGTCCAGAGTGCCGTAAAGATAACCCATATCATAGCTCCTAGATGGGAAAGAGTTTGAACTACCTGCTGTGTTACAGAGCGGAGGGTGATGTATTTTCTGCTACAAATAGTAGCAGATGATGAATTGCCATGGAGCGGAAACATGGAGAACAACTAAGACAATTACTAATTTACTACAGACATTCATTAACTGGTGCCTGCGCAGAATAGAGGGAATAAAATGGTATGATAGAATCACTAGAGCTTTGGGAGAGAACTAAATAAGTTCCAGTAGACCAAGAGGTGAAGAAAAGATGCTAGCATTGGATAGGACACACGTTGAGAAAACCGGAGAACAATTTAACTAGAATGTCTTTACAGTGGAACCCACAGAGGCATAGGAATAAAGGAAGGCCAAAAAACACATGGAGAAGGGAGCTGGAGAATGAAGCTAGAAAGATGGGGAGAACATGGGGAGAGCTGCATGCGATAGCAAAGGATAGAACCACTTGACGTGAGTTGGTTGAGGGCCTATACTCCATTGGGGGCTAGAAAGACAGAAGGCACCATGTTGAGCACTGCTGCAAAACATCAAGCAATGGAAACAATCGGATGACCAACAGAAGAGAAATTCAAATTATAGAGCTTTTTAAACAAGTCCACTATGTTTTTGAAATGTTAAAGCCTTAAATAATAAACAGGAACCCCTGTGTGGGTTCCGGGGCCTCATTGTGGGGAAAAGAAGAATAGACCCACTGCCTCCCCAAAAGCATGACGTAAGAGTCGACTAACTGGGGAGCTTCCTTTGAAGTCGGAGTGCATCTGCCGGAGAGGCAAGGAACCAACAGTCTGTATTCAAGAAAATGAGATCTGTAAAACTGATGCACAGGCAACACTCAGGTTCTGGAGCAGGACTGCAGTTCAGTAGTGGACGAGCAACCAGAACTTTCCCTCAGAGTGTACAGCTGGTGAACGCGAAGAAGAATAAACAGGAAGTTTCATAAGTTTTCACACACACTGAACAAATAAACATACCACAAATGCCACTACAAGCATAACTCCAGCTGTGTTCTTCAACAGCTCATCAAAATAGGTGTTTCTAGTCAAATTTTTCGCCCCAAGCACACCATGATTGGCCGTTCATTCATGCTTCATGACTTTCACACGTGCTAGCCAAAGTTACAGGGGTGTCACATTTCATTGTGTCCGATCTTCTGAGCCGTGTAAATTTCACGTCATGTAGTGGTTGGTGTCAGCGGCCAGCGAGATTGCGTACATTACAGCTTTTTTGGACTTCAAGTAGGACATTAATTTACTTCAGCTGTGAGCACTGAGGAGTGACAAGGAGAGCAGCGTTGCTTTTCTGCAGCAAGACAGCTATTTAGGGCCCGACGCAAAGTGTCGACAATTCTGAAACCACGGGACGTAGGCTGAGGCTGTGGAGTGTGGTGGTGGTGGTGGTGGGGGGGGGGGGGGGGGGGGGGGGTTAGGGCTAGTTCTAGATGTTGTGGGGTCATTAAAAGAGGTCACACTGTGTAACACAGAACACAGGATATCGCTCGTGATAGCGTCGAAGAGAACACAACGTGACTCCCCTGTAACTCAAACTAGCACGTGTGAAAGGTCCCGAAGCATTAATGAACGGCCAATCAAGGTGTATTTGGGACAAAAAACATTCGAAAGACCAAACAGATTTTCAAAACAATGGTATTTTTTCCCCTATGTATGGACACTTATGGGACACTTATGTAGTTTTTAAACTATGTTTGATATTTTCAAAACTTATGTTATCGCAATCAACGTCTTTGCACATTGTGCATCCCCATGTGTGCTCAGTCCTCTGATGCAGCAGCCACTCCAAGAGACCTCTACTGATTGTTCCCATGAAGAGCTGGTTAAAGTATCTCATGTCTTTACCTCGAAGATGACATAGACGTGCTCCACCAAGCTTAACTCCTCGGTCCTGCAGTCATGTTAGTGTCAGAGATTCACCATTATCCCCCCCCCCCCCCAACCTAGTCCATTCAATGTTGATGATATCAGCTATCAATTCTTGTTTCAGTCTGCATTTGTACATTACTTGCCAGCTGGTCAACTCTTTCATTACCAAAAACGTTATATGTCAGTTTTAACATAAGCTTATGAAAACTGGAGAAGCACAAGAGACCAGGAATGGAACTTTAATTCGTTTGAAATCAAATTCTAAAAGAAAACTCATGAACATTAAATGGGATGAATTATCCCCATAAAGATTCTGGGGTCCCACTGTGTGACTTGGGGGGGGGGGGGGGGGGGGGGGATTTACTCACTACCCATCTAACAAGCATGTCATAAAAGCCAACTAACTAAGGGTGTTCCCTTCTAAATCCAAATGTACCTGCTTGAGAGGTGAGGAACCAACAGTCTGCATACAAATAAGCCCCATCTGTAAAACAGACATACACCTACAATTCTTCTGGAACATTTTCACCCAAAAGTGGGGCCCTGAAAGCCACAAGGGGGAAAATGATGAAGATGATGATGAAGATGATGATAATGATGATGATAGAGATGATGATGATGATGGATTACACAACTGACCTACCCAACTTCACATCTCTGTTAGGGTATATGTGTCTCTCGTCTGTCACCACCACTTTCAGCTTCTCTCCAGTGAACGGGTGCACAGCATGGACAGGCAGAACAGCACCTGAAAGATTTCATTGAATGCTTACACCAGAATTGTCTGGAAAGGAGAGTTGAATTAAGAATCAACATCACAGAGCTCAGGACACTCCCACTTGTGCTCCATCCCCATCTTCAGCAGCAAGCGAAGAGCTCCAATTCTGATGGCATTGATTGTACATCCATCTCAGTTTTCCTTTGAGTGTTGAGCATCAGTCAAATGTCATAAACTCTCCACAATCAGTCATCTAAAACAGCATGTATCAGTTCTTGTGCTGAAAACACCTCCATGCCACGACAGAAGGTTGTCAAGAATCTTCTCATGTCTTCTGTCTCTTTTCCCACAGATCTTTCAAGAGGTTACAACACGTTCCAGTTACCTTATTCTCATAACATGACCAAAAACTGATGACTGTCTCTTTTCCCACAGATCTTTCAAGAGGTTACACCACGTTCCAGTTACCTTATTCTCATAACATGACCAAAAACTGATGACTGTCTCTTTTCCCACAGATCTTTCAAGAGGTTACACCACGTTCTAGTTACCTTATTCTCATAACATGACCAAAAACTGATGACTGTCTCTTTTCCCACAGATCTTTCAAGAGGTTACACCACGTTCTAGTTACCTTATTCTCATAACATGACCAAAAACTGATGACTGTCTCTTTTCCCACAGATCTTTCAAGACGTTACACCACGTTCTAGTTACCTTATTCTCATAACATGACCAAAAACTGATGACTGTCTCTTTTCCCACAGATCTTTCAAGAGGTTACAACACGTTCCTGTGACCTTAGTCTCATAACATGACCAAAAACTGATGACTGTCTCTTTTCCCACAGATCTTTCAAGAGGTTACACCACATTCCAGTGATCTTATTCTTATAACATGACCAAAAACTGCTGAAGTTTGTGATAAGTTGTCTTAGAGCCCTCGCTCGCTTTCCAAACCACCGCGTTGCTCTTTTAAAAAATGCAAGACAGTATTATACTAATTAATTAGAGTATTAAAAAACTACAAGTTTAGATAATGCAGCATCTGCTGCTTAATGGTCAGAAAATCTGACACACTTGGCTTGGCTGTTTCTGAGAGATAAAGAGTTCCATTGAATTTCTCCATTTAACTTCAACTGGAGCCGCTACCTGATTGGACAGACACTTTTGGTGGGCTGCCGGGAACCACATGGTGCTAGTGGACAACTAACCTTTTTTCTTTTCAATAACACCAAATGAATATACATTCTTCACCTCTGTCTTTCATCTCCCACATTAGCCTGTCTAACACTCTACCCTCCTAACCTCACTCCTGTCAGAAGAAAAAGAAAAAGAAAAATAGGAGGAGGAGGAAGAAGAAGAAAAAGACGACGATGATGAAGACAATGATGAAGATGACAACAAAGACAGCAATCAAGCCGCCAAATAAGATCAAGAAGAAGACTAAGATAAAGAAAAAGAAGATGAAAAAGAAGACAAAGATGAAGAAGAAGAAGCAGTAGCAAAAGCAGCAGCAGATGAAGAAGAAGAAGAAGCATCAGCAGTAGTAGCACAAGTAGAAGAAGAAGAAGAAAAAGAAGCAGCTGTAGCAGAAGAAGAAAAACAAGATGAAGAAGAAGAAAAAGAAGAAGACCAAGAAAAAGATGAAGAAGAACAACAACAACAATAATAACAACATGAACTAGAAACCTACCTATCTCAGTAACACCAAAGTCCACACAAAAGTGATGGGATGGTTTCACACTGAGATGAGATACACCAAAGATTAAGTCTAAATTCTCCGTGTACACACTCACTGGAAGTCCTGCACCATCAGTCTGTAAAACAGATTCATTCCAGTTGCATTTCATGTGAAAAGAGATAAATTTGACATGTAATGGTTTGCTCCAACAGATGAAGAGGGTAGACATAGAGAGACAAACCAAGTTTCAATCATGTCACTCCGCGAGGCCACAAAACCAACACTTCCGCTGGTACAGTTTCTGGAGAGAGTTACCTTTATGAAGGCTATAGTGACCTGTTGATGAGATGCCTAGGCAATAGCATTGTTACCGTTTGCACCTACGCACATGTTTAGATGGACCAGGAATGACAGTTACCTTTATGAAGGCTATCGTGACCTGTTGATGAGATGCCTAGGCAATAGCATTGTTACCGTTTGCACCTACGCACATGTTTAGATGGACCAGGAATGACAGTTACCTTTATGAAGGCAACAGTGACCTTAGACAAGATGCCTAGGCAACAGCATTGCTACTGTTTGCACATGCACACCTGTTTAGATGGACCAGGAATGACTTCATTTACTAAAAATATAATTCAGAGGGGTTTTGTGGGTAACAGATTGGCTGGATCAGCACCACTGGGTGGTGAATTGATAGATGATAAGGCAGATGTGGTCAAGACCGTTTGGGAACAAGCAACAGAATTAGTAGAGATACAAGATTATTATGACCTAGAGAGAATGAGGCACCTGGGTGTAACCAAAGGGTCTGGCTGGCTCACTACACTCAGAGGAAAAGCAAGACGGACATATAACCAGATTGTGACAGGTACCATCAGTACTGGAACTCTGCGCTGGCTGCTGAAGATGAGGATAGAGCACACATGGGAATGCCTTGAGTGCTGTGATGTCATCTCAACTCAGAGGGGCTTTCTTGTGAAAATAAAATATATATAAATTATGATGTCATAGTTTCCAGATAGTCACATAGTTAACCTGCGTCCAGGTCACGGGGTATGAGGTGAGACAGCGTAAACATTTACTTTCAGACTCATGAGATGCGACCCAGTTAATGCTCTGCTGTATTCGTGTTTACTGATGGCAGACTCCGACATTCGCTTGGCTAGACTTAATGGTCATGCCCTTTTTCTTGGCACAGACATCATTCCTAACCAATCAACTCACCTCGCTGATTACGACAAAGTCAATTCTGCAGCCCTTACATTCCCCAATCCAATGCCAACATTCCTAACCAATCAACTCACCTGGCTGATTACGACAAAGTCAATTCTGCAGCCCTTACATTCCCCAATCCAATGCCAACATTCCTAACCAATCAACTCACCTCGCTGATTACGACAAAGTCAATTCTGCAGCCCTTACATTCCCCAATCCAATGCCAACATTCCTAACCAATCAACTCACCTGGCTGATTACGACAAAGTCAATTCTGCAGCCCTTACATTCCCCAATCCAATGCCAACATTCCTAACCAATCAACTCACCTGGCTGATTACGACAAAGTCAATTCTGCAGCCCTTACATTCCCCAATCCAATGCCTCTGTAGCAGGATGATATCTCGCCAGAGATTCTTGTCCACTTCCTCCAGGCCTTTCAGCAGAGCCTGGTCACACATGATATGTTAGTTAGCACATTGGTTGCAATGAATATAGTATGCTGATTGTAATAAATATACCATGACGGTTGTAATTGATATAGCATTGCTGGCTGTAACAAATGCAACATGCTGGTCATAACAAATATAGCATGTAAGTTGTAATAAATACAGCATGTTCGTTGTAATATATGTAGCATATTGGTTGTGATATATATAGCTTGTTGGCTGTGATAAATATAGCATGTAGGTTGTAATATGTGTAACCTGTTGGTTGTAATATTTTGTATATGTTGTAATAAATATCGCAAACAAGTTGTAATACATATAGCATGTTGTTTGAAAAAATATAGCATGTTGGTTGTAAAAAATATAGCAATGATAATGATTGAAGTGGTGACAAAGACACTGGCAACGATGACTACAGACAATGACTATGACAATAAAAATAGACAATGATGACAACAGACAATGACGACAATAGACGACAACTATGATGACAACAGACAATGATGACAACAACAGACAATGACTACAACAGACAATGATGACAACAGACAATGACGACAACAGACAATGACTACAACAGACAATGCCTACAACAGACATTGCCTACAACAGACAAGGATGACAACAGACAAGGACGACAACAGACAATGACAACAGACAATGACAGCAACAGACAATGATGGCAACAGACAATGACGGCAAAACAATGACGGCAACAGACAATGACAACAACAGACAATGACAACAACAGACAATGACAGACAATGACTATATGGAAGACAACTGACCTCAGAGAAAGAAGTGCACCGCAGATACCACTGTGTGAGATACTTCTTCTCCACTTTGGCCCCAGACCTCCAAGAGCAGCCACTGCCATCGATTTGTTCATCCGCCAATACTGTCATGTCCACCGGGTCCCAGTTTACGGGCGCCTACAGGGGGAAAGATGTGTGTCTGTGCGTTAATATGTGGTATTGTGATTATGATCATAAAGAGAAAATAAAGGTTGCAGTGTTAAGTATAAACAATGTTACTGAGTCAACATTAGATGTAGATTAGTCTCTCTCCTTCTCTCTGAGTGAGTGTGTGTGTGTGTGTGTGTGTGAGTGTGAGTGTGTGTGTGAGTGTGAGAGTGTGTGTGTGAGTGTGTGTGAGAGTGTGTGTGTGAGTGTGAGTGTGAGAGTGTGTAGAAGTGTGTGTGTGAGTGTGTGTGTGAGAGTGTGTGTGTGTGTGTGAGAGTGTGTGAGTGAGTGTTGTGTAAGAGAGTGTGTGTGTACATGTGTGAGAGTGCGTGTGAGTGTGTGAGAGTGTGTGGGTGTGTGTATGTGTGTGTAGATTTTATAAGAAGGAATGGTCTTGAGAACTTGCTAACGACTAGCAAGACTGATGGAAAGAGAGTAAGGAGAAGGCAAAGAGATAAATATCTGGATGGTTTGGCCATAATGGAGCCACACATTTGTAGTGGCTAGATGCTTGTCTGAGGTGATGGAGGTCATGGGTTCAAATTCTCACTAAGCCATTTTTTTTTTCAAAAAACTACTGACTGACCCAGCCTAAAATCATCGTCTTCTGTTTCTTTGCATTTCACCAGCTGTAAACTCTAGCAGAAAGTTCTGGTTGTTCGTCCACCTCCTTTTTGCACAGCCTGAGTGTTGCATGCACATCCATTTTACATTTCTAGCTTATCTGTATGCAGACTGTTAGTTCCTCACCTCTCAGGCAGATGCACTTTGACTTCAGAGGATGCCCCCAATTACTCAACTCCGACGACATGCTGGTTGGGTAGGCAGACGGTCTATTCTTGTTTTCCCCATATTGGGGCCCCGGAATTTAAATACCTGGGAAGTATCTTTACATCCAATGGTAAAATAGACAGAGAGATTGAAGCAAGAATCCAACAAGCCAACAATGTCGCATACCAGCTTGCCCCAATTTTAAAACACCCTGCTGTCCCAGCTGAGATAAAAAGACAAATTATAAATACAATCTTTATACCGACATTAGGTTATCAATGTCAGACTTGGACATTAACAAAAGAACATGAGAGAAGACTAACCACCTGTGAAATGAGATGTTTGAGAATGGCTGCGAATAAAACCAGAAGAGATCGAGTGAGAAACGATGTGATTACAAGAACTATTGGAACCATACCCATCGTTAAATTTATTGAGAAGCAAAGAATGAAATGGTTTGGTCACCTAATGAGAATGGAACCAACGATGCCAGCATCAAGAGCATACAACATGAAAATCGAAACAACAAGAGGCAGGGGAAGACCAAGAAGAAGATGGATTGAAGGAGTCACGGACAACTTGAGACTTCATAACATCACGGCATATGAAGCGACTGAGCGCGCCCTGGCTCGGTTGCCGATCATCTGATAGACTGCGACGCCTAGGGGTGAAACAAGAACACTGACCTGATATATGAATCTGGTGATCATCTGAGATGGTGAAAAATGACAGCTGACATTTATAAGTGTGATACTTAAAGTTGATGATTTAAGAAGCAAATAATATAACACAAATATAACACAAATATAACACTATGATCTTCCGTGCAGGATGCAAGAGGTAACAAAGCTGGGCTGGTTAGTTAGTTAATCCACAGATTATCCTCACTGCACATCGAACAAGCCCTTAAGCGCTCAGATCCCATCTTCAGTATATCCCTCAGCGTGTGGCGGCTGATAACACCAGTTCTGTGTTGATTTACCATTCTTCTTTGGCTACCTGTATAGTGTTCATGTTTGGCGACACCTTGTAGTTGGGCAGGTGTGACTGGCAACCTTGTTATGTCAAAAAAACAATGATTTGCCATCTCGACAATGACTCACAGCCCATGGCATTGGCGAGTGTGACTAGCAAGACTCGCCTGTGTTCAGAAAAGTCCTCCACAATGACTCACAGCACATGATGATGGTGAGTGTGACTAGCAAGACTCGCCTGTGTTCAGAAAAGTCCTCCACAATGACTCACAGCACATGATGATGGTGAGTGTGACTAGCAAGACTCGCCTGTGTTCAGAAAAGTCCTCCACAATGACTCACAGCACATGATGATGGTGAGTGTGACTAGCAAGACTCGCCTGTGTTCAGAAAAGTCCTCCACAATGACAGCATGGGATTTCAGGACCACTGTTGTCAACATTTGTCTTTAGTGTGTTTCCTCTCAGATGCTCAGCTCTCATCCTTTCTGCAATCATTTCTTCCTTGATTCTCATTCCCTTCCTGATGAGCCCCCTCCACACAACATGGTCCATGGCATTTTTGTCCCACAAGTTCACCTCAATACCTGTATCATTTATGTCCCGCTTGCACACATCTTTATACTGTAGAGATTGGCTTCGACTTCTGTCTTTAATTCACCATAAAGAATGTCCTTAGGGACTCTGCCATCCTCCATTCTCCAGGTGTGACCCAGCCACCTGAGCCTTTGTAGACTAAGCACTGAGAAGACTGTTGTAGTACCTGCTCTTTCCAGTACCTCAGTGTTTGTTATTTTGTCCTGCCACTTAATGCCAAGTATTCTTTTAATCGCCATTTGCTTACTATATATAAATATATATATACCTTTTTTTGAAATGCCAGGCCTTGCTCAAACATCTTTAAGAAAATATACTGTGTCCCCTTATAATAGGACGGCTCACAGGTTGCTACCTCCTGAAACAGAATGTAAATATTTACTGGCAGGACAATTTACAGGACACCTATTATATAAGAACATCCTCTAAGGTGAATTACAGATGGTTAGAAGATGTCAATGTTCGGCCTCTGTAATGATATAAAATGCGTGCAAGCAGAATATTAATGATACAGGTATTTAGATGAATTCACAACAACAGGATGCCACAGAGCGTTTGCAAGAAGGGAGATAATCAGGAAGGGAACAGGGACTAAAGGAGGGAAACAAAAATTGTTTATAGGTTAAGAGAAGGTAAAGGTTTGGCGATTCAGTGAGAATGCAGCCAGACCAAACTGCAGATGAGACTTTTTACAGCATAAAATCTGGAAGGCAGGTGAGGGGAAGCCTGAGAAAAAGAGGGATAAATGGTGAAGCTGAAACCTGCAAACAAATGAACAAACCCATCACTCAAGTCACCCGAAAAGTACAAGACAAGTACAGAAAACCACAACACTGGGCTACAACCTGGTATCAGTGAGATGATAAAACCACGACACTGGGCTACAACCTGGTATCAGTGAGATTATAAAACCATGGGCTACACTGGTATCTACAAGCTGGTATCAGACAACGTGAGATGATAAAACTTGACACTGGGGAGGTACAACCTGGTATCAGTGAGATGATAAAACTACGACACTGGGCTACAACCTGGTATCAGTGCGATAATAAAACCATGACACTGGGCTACAACCTGGTATCAGTGAGATGATAAAACTACGACACTGGGCTACAACCTGGTATCAGTGAGATTATAAAACCATGACACTGGGCTACAAGCTGGTATCAGTGAGATGATAAAACTACGACACTGGGCTACAACCTGGTATCAGTGAGATGATAAAACTACGACACTGGGCTACAACCTGGTATCAGTGAGATGATAAAACCATGACACTGGGCTACAACCTGGTATCAGTGAGATGATAAAACCATGACACTGGGCTACAACCTGGTATCAGAGAGATGATAAAACCATGACACTGGGCTACAACCTGGTATCAGAGAGATGATAAAACCATAACACTGGGCTACAACCTGGTATCAGTGAGACGACAAAACCATGACACTGGGCTACAACCTGGTATCAGTGAGATGATAAAACCATGACACTGGGCTACAACCTGGTATCAGTGAGATGATAAAACCATGACACTGGGCTACAACCTGGTATCAGTGAGATTATAAAACCATGACACTGGGCTACAACCTGGTATCAGTGAGATGATAAAACCATGACACTGGGCTACAACCTGGTATCAGTGAGATGATAAAACCATGACACTGGGCTACAACCTGGTATCAGTGAGATGATAAAACCATGACACTGGGCTACAACCTGGTATCAGTGAGATGATAAAACCATGACACTGGGCTACAACCTGGTATCAGTGAGATGATAAAACCATGACACTGGGCTACAACCTGGTATCAGTGAGATGATAAAACCATGACACTGGGCTACAACCTGGTATCAGTGAGATGATAAAACCATGACACTGGGCTACAACCTGGTATCAGTGAGATGATAAAACCATGACACTGGGCTACAACCTGGTATCAGTGAGATGATAAAACCATGACACTGGGCTACAACCTGGTATCAGTGAGATGATAAAACCATGACACTGGGCTACAACCTGGTATCAGTGAGATGATAAAACCATGACACTGGGCTACAACCTGGTATCAGAGAGATGATAAAACCATGACACTGGGCTACAACCTGGTATCAGTGAGATGATAAAACCATGACACTGGGCTACAACCTGGTATCAGTGAGATGATAAAACCATGACACTGGGCTACAACCTGGTATCAGTGAGATGATAAAACCATGACACTGGGCTACAACCTGGTATCAGTGAGATGATAAAACCATGACACTGGGCTACAACCTGGTATCAGTGAGATTATAAAACCATGACACTGGGCTACAACCTGGTATCAGTGAGATGATAAAACCATGACACTGGGCTACAACCTGGTATCAGTGAGATGATAAAACCATGACACTGGGCTACAACCTGGTATCAGTGAGATTATAAAACCACGACACTGGGCTACAACCTGGTATCAGTGAGATTATAAAACCACGACACTGGGCTACAACCTGGTATCAGACAACAAAAGATGACAGATTAAGAGTTTGGCATCTGAGAAGAAGCATGTTAAAATAAATGCTTGGGCAACGATGGTTCAGAAATTCCATGTTCTAATTGCGGAAGGTAATAACAATATCACCAGGAAAGATGGAAATGTGGGAAAAAACTAGTAGCAGTGTCGACTAAACAGTCTAACCTTGCACTGATTAAAACCACATTAAAGCTCTTGTAAATGCAGGTATCACCTCTCAAGACTTCTATTGTTTTCACCTTTGGGTTCTTACCTGAAAGTCTGACACCCCAATAACTTAATCCTTTCACCTTGGCAACCCTAAAAACAAAAACAATGGGTAATAACACTGTTGGAATTCTCAAAAGAAGGGCTTTAAAAACAAAATTTTTTTACACCGTTGAACAATACAAGAGGAGCGGCTGGCTGAGCTCTAATGTGGAAGATCTGAGTTCGACCCCCGGTAAGGTGATAGAGTTTTGTGTCAGGGAAAAAATTAACATCTTAACCTGCACAGTCCGTGGCGACAGCACTAGTCATGCGGCGCTAAATCCTTAGGCTCAAGGACACCCTATCTACCCAGCCCTAACAAGTGGTAAAACAGACAGTGGTGACAGCAACATTTTTTTTTTTGGATAGACCAATACATTTGTAGCCACTATGGCTAATTCTAAAAAAAATTGAAATAAACAGGAAAAACGAATTAACAGCAATCCTACCTTGCTCCAATCAAAACTAAACCCTAGCTCTTGCAGCTGCTGCTTCATCCTCTTTATGTTACTGTTACGAGACGAGATGAGAAAGAGTTCCATTAGAATGTGATGTAAATACAGGATAAATACACTCAACAACTGCTTCTTCAGCCTCTTTATGTTACTGTTACGAGATGAGAAAAAGTTCCATTAGAACGTGATGTAAATACAGGATAAATACACTCAACAACTGCTGCTTCATCCTCTTTATGTTACTGTTGCGAGACGAGATGAGAAAAAGTTCCATTTGAACGTGATGTAAATACAGGATAAATACACTCAACAACTGCTTCTTCATCCTCTTTATGTTACTGTTATGAGATGAGAAAGAGTTCCATTAGAACGTGATGTAAATACAGGATAAATACACTCAACAACTGCTGCTTCATTATCTTTATGTTACTGTTACGAGACTAGACGAGAAAGAGTTCCATTAGAATGTGATGTAAATACAGGATAAATACACACAACAACTACTTTTTCAGCCTCTTTATGTTACTGTTATGAGATGAGAAAGAGTTCCATTAGAACGTGATGTAAATACAGGATAAATACACTCATCAACTGCTTCTTCATTCTTTTTTTCTTCTTCATTCACCGGCCGTAAGCTCCAGTGGAGAGTCCTGGTTGTTTGTTCATTTAGACTTTGACTTTGTGCCAGGGCCTGAGTTTTGTCTGTACATCCCTTTTACTGGCTTATTTCTGTGCAGTTGGTTGTTCCTTGCTCTTCAGGCAGATATACACCGACTACAAAGAAAGCCCCTACTTAGTCTACTCTTACGCCATGCTTGCTGGGGGGGGGGGGGGGGGGGGGCGGCAGCTAGTCTCTTCTTGCTTCCCCCACAATGGGGCCCTGGAGCCCAGACAGGAAACATGACAACAGTAGACTGTCCATATATTCTTTTCAGTTTACTCTTACCCTGCCTCCCTGAGAAAGCGTAGATGTGGTAATATTATATATATTATATTAACAAACAAAAAAATCATTTTAAAACAGATCTAATTTCTAATGAAACAAAATTGATTTTCTTCGTTGTGACGCCCTTTTTCTATTTTCTTTTTTTTTTGCTATGTCAACAGAACTCCTGTTTTCTTGGTCAAAGGAAAAGCAGTTAATTTTTTTCCAGTCTGTTTGTATTCAGCGATTAGTTGACTTTATAAAATAAAACAAAAAAACAATGTCAATTGTAGTTCTAATCTTCTGGGTTGATCATAAATTTTATCTGTCACCTGTAGGTTCAATATTCTGAGCTGATCATAAATTCTAACATCACCTATAGGTCCAATATTCTGAGCTGATCATACATTCTATCTAACATCACCTATAGGTCCAATATTCTGAGCTGATCATAAATTCTATCTAACATCACCTATAGGTCCAATATTCTGAGCTGATCATAAATTCTATCTAACATCACCTATAGGTCCAATATTCTGAGCTGATCATAAATTCTATCAAATATCACCTATAGGTCCAATATTCTGAGCTGATCATAAATTCTATCTAACATCACCTATAGGTCCAATATTCTGAGCTGATCATAAATTCTATCAAATATCACCTATAGGTCCAATATTCTGAGCTGATCATAAATTTTATCAAATATCACCTATAGGTCCAATATTCTGAGCTGATCATAAATTCTATCTAACATCACCTATAGGTCCAATATTCTGAGCTGATCATAAATTCTATCTAACATCACCTATAGGTCCAATATTCTGAGCTGATCATAAATTCTATCTAACATCACCTATAGGTCCAATATTCTGAGCTGATCATAAATTCTATCTAACATCACCTATAGGTCCAATATTCTGAGCTGATCATAAATTCTATCAAACATCACCTATAGGTCCAATATTCTGAGCTGATCATTAATTCTATCTAATGTCACCTATAGGTCCAATATTCTGAGCTGATCATAAATTCTATCTAATGTCACCTATAGGTCCAATATTCTGAGCTGATTATAAATTCCATCTACTGTCACCTGTAGGTCCAATATTCTGAGCTGATCATAAATTCTATCTAATGTCACCTGTAGGTCCAATATTCTGAGCTGATTATAAATTCTATCTAATGTCACCTGTAGGTCCAATATTCTGAG